AAAGTAACATATCCTTATATCCAAATTTTGAAGTTAAGGTATCTTTAAAATATGTATATTGGTTTAACTCAGCTTCCTTTACAATCAAATATCTCTCTGTAGTTAAGAATCCCAAAGACAACATAATCCAGATTCTCTGTGTGATATCCATTTTTATGGGGTTTATTTTTTATATTAGCTTGAGCCTATTGTTTTGAACTGTAGCCTTTTAAGCCTGAAACGGCGCTGGTGTTGTGGCTGTTGGCTCCGCCCACCTCAGCTTTCCAACATGGCGGGGGTATGCTTACCGTCAGCTCTGGGAGCCATCGTGGGTCTATGTTTTTATCTAAGCAGCGTGTAGCCCAGAAACCTCTTTTTTTGTTTTGTACTAGCAAAGGCTAAATCTACAATGTAGCTTAATGTGCCATTTGTAGAGGCCTCATTCCCGCCATATGGCGGCAGGTCGAGCGTGTACATTAGGAACCCATCAGTAGCTCAAACCGGCAGGCTGCCGCTAACTTGAAAGAGACAACTAGGAACTGTTTTTAGCTCCGTTTTAGAATCTTTTTTTTCAGGTTTTAGGTGGAAACTCTTGCCCCACGTTGGGCGCCATTTGTAGCTGGAGTTTTCCTGCCTGACCCACAGTCAGGATAAATCTCTCTCACCTGCCAGTCCCAAGCCACTCAAACCCCACCAAGTAAACATAGAGACTTATATTGGTTACAAACTGTATGGCCGTGACAGGCTTCTTGCTAACTGTTCTTACAGCTTAAATTAATCCATTTTTATTAATCTATACCTTGCCACGTGGCTTGTGGCTTACCGGTACTTTACATCTTTCTTGTCCTGATGGCGGCTGGCAGTGTCTCCTCCCTCGCTGCTGCAGGCATTCATTTGGGACACCAGAGACTAATTCACCCCCCCTATTTTCTGTAGCTAGAGTTTTTCTGCCTGGCCAACAGTCAGGGCAAATCTCTCTCACCCACCAGTCCCAAGCCGCTCAAACCCGATCAAGTAAACATAGAGACTTATATTGGTTACAAACTGTATGGCCGTGGCAGGCTTCTTGCTAACTGTTCTTATAGCTTAAATTAATCCATTTCTATAAATCTATATCTTGCCACGTGGCTTGTGGCTTACCGGTACTTTACATCTTCCTTATCCTGATGGCGGCTGGCAGTGTCTCCCTCTCTCAGCCTTCCACTTCCCAGCTCTATTCTCCTCCTTGTCCCGCCTATACTTCCTGCCTGGCCATGGGCCAATCAGTGATTTATTTATTGACCCAGCAACACATTTGACATACAGACCATCCCATAGTAATTTTCTCTGCTCCTTCCTTCTTCCCCATGGTCTAGCTGTGATAAACCACAGTTTTCCACGCTGAGGTTGAGGGACTGAAACCAGAACTTCTTCTAAAAGACAGGATATTAGGCATGTGTCCACCAAAACCCAGAACTTCTAAAAACACTATGAGCTCTCAGAGACAAAACACCTGGGGGAAAGGTTGAAGAGCGACACCAAGTGCACTCAGAAGTACACGGATGGCAAGATGGTTCTGAGGGCAAGAGCACTGGCTGCTGCTCAGGAGGTCCTGGGTTTGATTCTCAGCACCCACACACTGCCTCATGACTCTCTGTAACTCCGAAGTCCAGGGATCCAACTCCCTCCTCTGGCCTCCCATGTGTACCATGGTACACAGACATGCAGATAAAACACTCGTACGCATACAATAAAACTTGAAAAAATAAGAAACAAGTTCTCTACAAGGGGGAACATGGATGGAGTACTTCTAACTCAGTAGGTGCTATGATCTAAATGCTTGCATCCTCTATGGTAGTTAATATCACACAGTCACCTAGGAGATAAACCTCTGGGCGTGTGTGTAAAGGAATTTCTACATTCCATTAAGTGAGCTGGCAATACCCACCCTAAATGTGGGCAGCATTCCATGGTCTGGTTCCTGGACTGAGTAAAAAAAAGAGAAAGTGAGCTGAAGATCAGCATGTCTCCCTTCTCCTCCTCCCTCTCACTCTCCCTCCCTCTTCCCACCCTCCCCTGCCCTCTACCTGACTTGGATGCAGTATGCCAACTGCCTTAGCTCCTGCCATGAGGAATTGTACCCTATAACTGTCAACCAAAAATGACCCCTTCCCTTTCTTAGGTTGCTTTCGCCTGGGATTTTGTCACAGGAATGTGAATTGTAGTTAACATATCCTCACTGTTGAAGCCATGGCCTCCAAACTAAAACACTCTCTCCTGGAAGGAGGAGGAGGAGATTCCTCGGGAAGCTTAGAAAGTTACAAGACCCATCCTCAGGTTATAAAGGCAGTTTGATTACACAGTGTGATTCAGTCTCAGGACCTCTGCCCCAAAGGTAAAAGTAACATTACTTTTCTCATTGCTCTGATAAAATGTCCAGCAAAAGCAGCCTAAGGAAGAAGGTCTCACAGTGATGGGGTTTACCGTGATGGGGAAGCCACAGTGGCAGGAACTTGGGGCAACTGGTCATGTCACATCTCAAGTCAGAAGTGGAGCAATGGATGCTTGTACTTTTTCCTTTTTATACAATCCAGGATGCCAGCCCAGGGAATGATGCCACCCACAGCGGGCTGGTCTTTCCATCTTGATTAATCAAGATAATCCCTCAGAGGCATGTCTCCCAGATGATTCCATCTCATCATTTACAACCTCATCACACAGTAGCCCACAAAGTCAATGCTGCACAGCATATATAGAGAAATGTGGGAGACTGTCCTAGTTCCGGAGGGCCCTAGACACAAGTTCTCATGGGTGGGGCTGCTCCATTCCCTTGTGAATTTATGCTAAAAGCATAGAGAAGGGCTGGAGAAGGAAAGTACCTGGGAACTGAAAGGAAGTTCTTCCGTGACAAGAAGGCGAAAAGGGAAGGGGAAATAATGTAATTGTATTATAATCTCAAGAAAAGCAGTTTTAAAAAGGCAAGAATTCCTGCCTCCAGACTCCCTGGAGAGTGTAAAGGGTAGAATCAGGCCTTGGGATCCTTGGAGGAAAACCACCAAATAGAGTGGGTCCCGAAGTGTGGCCAGTGAGCCAGAGTCACCATTGGAAAGTTAGGAGTGTAGATTCCTAGACTCCATTGAGGCCTGCCTGCTGTTACAGACACTTGGGTAAGATTCAGCTGCCAGTCAGACACTGGGGGCAGGGTCCAGCTGTTGGTCAGACACTGGGGGTGGGGTCCAGATGTTGGTTGGACACTGGGAGTGGGGTCCAGCTGTTGGTTGGACACTGGGGGTGGGGTCCAGATGTTGTTTACAGTGCAGTAATGGAGTCTGAGGATCTTGTGTAAGCTAGGCAAACTCTCTACGACTGATCTACATCCTCAGTCCCTATTCTTAGTTATCAAAATGACACTTATTCTTACAAGTAAGAGTGGCTGGAAAGAGATGGGACCTTTCCAGGATATTGCAGGTATTGGGGAGAATTAGCTGAAAAGCCATGTCTGAAGGCAGCGGCTGAAAAAAACTGTGCCCCGATTAATTCAGCCCACTGAAGATGACATCGGCTCTAAGCATGCACAACAGCCAGGAGAAGACTAAAAAAACTCAGTGAGGAATTCTGGGAAAGGAACCAGAGGCTGAGAGAGGAGAAACTGGGAACTTGTCACTACAAACCTCCTGGTATTAAAATATTTTTAATAATATGTACCTATTACATTAGTAACACTTGTATAGAGGTTGTATGGTGTGTGTGTGTGTACATGTTTATGTGTGTGCAGACATACGTGTGCACAGGGGGGGGTGTGTGGCAATGTGTGTGTATGTGTGCATTTGTGTGGAAGCCAGAAGTCAACATTAGGTGTCATTTCTCAGGAACCAACCTGTTTATTTTTGAAGCAGAGTCTCTCACCTGTGCCTGGGACTAACTGACTATGCTAGACTGGCTGAGCAGCGAACCCCAGGGATCCTCCGCCCTTGTCCCTCTGGTGCTGGGATTAAAAGCATGCAGTACCAGGTTGGCCTTTACATGGATGCTGGGACCCAAAGTCAGATCCTCACATCTGCATGGCAGGCACCATGCCCACTGGGTCTGGCTATCTTCCCAGTCCTGCGTTAATAACATTTTCAAAAATCCTGAAGATTTTTAAACCCTCTGACCCTTAAGATCAAGCCGTCCCAGATACATGACAGACACACACAACCTGGGATCTGCCACCCACACTCACTGATCTCTAAAGGACGGTCAAGGCTGGTTCCTCACTTCTGCAGAACTGGAAATGTCCCAAGCCACTTACATGTCCCCTGTTGTAACTCATCGCCTCATCTTTTGTATTTATCCTATGTTTGGTGCAGGCAGTTCCAGGCAGGGCCTCTGAAGCCAGGCAGGCTGCGGTCACATCTCAGGTCCCCAGCTTCTTACCCATTATCTCCACCCCCTGAAGCCTCGATTCTACTTCCTGAGGCCCATTAGAGTTGTTGAGATTTTTCGTTCATTTTTCTGTCTCCTAGCTCCTTCTCAGCCTTGACTCCCCTTGGCTCAGACAGAGCCAGCATGCTCTTGTCCCTCCTTGTTCCTCCGGACTTTGCTACATGAGTGGTACCTTCACAGCTCCCACCTCTTAGATTCCTGTCTGTGGCTCCCCACATTTGAAAACAGCAAAGAGCTTGAACATGCCTCAGCCGACCACAAAAGCTACTTTTCCTTTTCCCCTGAAGGTCATTGGAGTAAAGGGGACTCCATTTACTCAGCTTCAACTCATGGGTCATGCCTCTGGCTCTCCTCCAGTGACATTACCTCAAGAGGGTGACCAAGGCCATCCCAGGTTTTTCAGTCCTACCTCTTCAAGCCCGACCTTTGCCTGTCTTGGGACCTCTGTCACTCCCACTGTCCCTCTGACTGACTCTGACATTTCTTTCAGGTTCTTCTCGGAGGGTGGTGAATGCCTCTGGCTCCTTCTCAGGCTGTGCCTCTCCCACCCACTTCCATGCCCCCTCCATTCCCACCTGTGAGACCCGCCCTATGTATACCCTGTACTGCTTACTCACCAGATATTGGAGATGAGGGGAAAGATGGGCATGCCGCCCAACAAGAACAGCAGCCTCCAGTGGAAGATTTTGTAGGCAGACCCCGACAGGAAAAGAACCCCTACAGCAATGAAGCAGTGCGCCAGAACGACAGCGTGGGCCCGGTGCTCACCCACCAGCCACTCCATGACTGTGCAGAGAACGTGAGGACAAAGCTGTGGTCAGTTCACAGTCCCCAGGCTGGCCTTCCAGGTAGCTGGATGACATACCCACCCTGCCCTGGAAAGTTTAGAGTAGACAAAGTTTCTTCTGCCTGTTCCAGATCTTCAGACACCTCTCAGAGCTAGACTGTCTCTGTGTCCCCCCATGCACAGCCTATGCCTTGATGAAACTCCTCGGAACCCCCCCGCCCCACACACACACACACACATGCTTCCATTTCTTCTGCCCCCAGCCACTCCCTCGTTCAGGGCACCTCCATGGTCTGACGAGTGTTCTGTTATGCTCTGGCAGGTTCTCAGTGAGAAGAGGTGCCAGGGAGCCCCAAGAAAATGAGGGACTGCAGGCATTTGAGTCTAGGTAAGGGTGTACATCCATTGGTGTTGTTAGCATTGCACAGGCCTGGGTGGAAACCCCGCTCCTTCCTGCTGTGTGCCCTGAACAAACTGGAGAACTCTCTGAGGCTCAGGATGAAATAAGCAAAGCACATACAGGACTGAGCAGCTCCCTTGATTCTCAAGGTGCGGGAGATACAAGAAGCATGAGAGGAACATTCGAGGTACAGGAGAATACTATGGGGGACGAGGGTCGGGGGCACTCCCTTTTGACTCCCTCACACCTTCAGGCAGCCAAGAGTGGAGCTTCTTACTCCTTCCCCATTGGGTTCTGTGGCCTGCTGCCTCCCCAAAAGTTAGTGTTAGCCTGTGCATCCCAGGTAGATCTGCCTCCTGCTCCCTCTTGAACTGTATCCATTTCCATCCCACCTTGTCCCTTGAGAGTCAGTCACCTAAAGACACGCTGCTGATGGCATAGCCCACAGCCGCCAGGGCCACAACGAAGCGGAAGAACAGATACTGGTAAAAGCTGTTCACAAAGGCTGTTCCGAAGCCAAAGATGAGGAGCCCCAGCAGCGACATCAGGATGGTCGGATAGCGGCCCATCCTGTAGGTATGAGGAGGAGATGCCACCAAGCGCCACACTTCCGGGGCCAGCCGTGATTGTGCACCTGGGCCAGGCTCTGTGTTACCCCAGGGCTTTGGAGCATCCCTGACTTTGCCTTCCCCAGCTTGAGATTCATTCAGAGTCCATGGGCTATGCCATCTCCTGAGAAGGAGGCAGAGTATCCCAGGGGTCAGTGGGAATGCCAGGAGACTCACTTGTCACTTAAGAACCCGAAGAGGAGAGAGCCTGTCAGGATTCCCGCCAGGAACACAGTCTGCATGCTTTCCTTCTTCGGTTCGTTACCACACACCAGGTCAAACTGCAGGTGAGACAAGGCACTGACGGCAGCTTCCACACAGGCCGAGCCTTTGGGGAGCAGAGGCTGAGCTTGGCCCAGAGCAGAACCCTTAGGCCAGGGGCTCTCAGTCTTCCTGAGGCTGAGAGCCTTCAATACAGGTCTCCTGTTGTGGTGACCCCTAGCCTAAAAATTGTTCTATTACCACTTCATAGCTGTGATTTGCTACTGTTATGAATTGTAATGTAAATGTCTGATATGAGAGCCCTGTGAAAGGGTTCTTTGACCTCCAAGGGGGTTGCAACCCACAGGTTTAAAAGCACTGCCTTAGGCAGACGACACCCAGGCAAAGGGACAGTAGTTCTATGTAAAGCATCTGTTACACCTGGACCCTGTCTGTCCAGTACCTGGTAGACCCTGTAGCTAACCCTGGAGAGAGGAAGTGAAGACCTGAGGCAAGAAGGGGGATTGGTGGGGCTTCTTAAGCATGGGCACACATACTGGTCCTGGGCTCCAACTTGGAGCTTCCCATGGAAAAAGGCCCAGGCCTCAAATCAAGGTATGAAGCCCTGTGAGAAATGCCCAACACAAGCTTGTGAGAAATGCCCAACTCCACCTCTAGCTTCTGTGCATCCTGCTTGGTTGCCTCCTGACCCATCTCCCTTGCCAAGTGCCTCTACTATCTCAATCCAGGCTTAGGTCCAAGGTCTGCCAGATGCCGGAGGGGATACAGAGGTAACAGAGTAAATACTCCCTACACACAGCTGCCTATGCCCCATCCCTAAGTGCTCTCAGCTGCAGGGTCTTCCCTTGACCAGAAGACAAGAGCCACAACCTGACCTGAATTCTCTGGACAGGTGGCAAGCCCGTCTCTAAGCCATAATGCATTCTAGTTTCCTGGCTAAGAAAGGGGGAGCCCAGGGCTGGGGAACAAGAACCCCGATTTCCTTCTCTGGTACACCTCTGCAAAGCATGCTCAAGCCAATTGCTACCCATCTCTGCCACTTTTCCTGGGTAGCCACAGTCAACACAACACAAGACAAAAGCGTACCTCATTGATCAGAGAGCGCTTGTCAGCATAAGGATAGATCCACCCATATTTGCAGGTTTCTGTATAATTGAGGCCAAAATGGATGATAGAATCTAGATCCCATGACACAGGTATGTACATGAGGCATGTCAGGAAACTGCCATTGGGTGCTCGGGGCAGGGTCAGGTTCAGCTGCTCAGCCACTGAGAGGTTGGGGCCCACTGCCAGGATCCAGCTGGTGTTACAGTAGGGCCTCTGGGCTGTGAGCATGAAGTGGTCAGAAAGCATGAAGAAGGAGGACAGCATGCTGGGGATCAAGGTGAGGGCCACCAGCCTCCACTGGAATGTGCCAAACTCCCCCAAGGTATCCATGACACTGGTCAGCTTGTCCTCTCTCCTGGCATCTAGGGCCTTCAATCTGCGTAACAATATCTCCAAGGACCAGGAATGGGAAGGGAAGGAGATCTCATGCTGCTGTGTGCTCCTGGGACTCTGGGGTCCGAATGCTGGCTCGGAATTCTGTTTTTCTTCCATCTGTTCAAGAAAGGATGCAGTTCAGTCCTCTGTCACCATTTCCCAATATCAGATCCCAATACAGGAGCCAAGGGACAGAAAACACCCTCTGCCTTGGATCAATGAGTACATGGTCCCTTCCATCCTTTCCAAAGTCTCTTAGTCTGTATAATTCGTTCCTCCCGGCTCAACCATCCAAGTTTTAGTGCAATGGCCATTTGAATGTCTTAGAGAACGTTCTCCGCATGAATGCCAGGAGGTCTCTGACGGTTTCCTCACAACAAACTATTCACACATCTGAGGCATCACTGGAATTTCAAAGGTAGCAGAGAACTCCAGGGATCCCCCCCCACACTTCAAAATAAGTAAATAACGAATTAAAATAAACAGCTGAATCAGGAGCGAGCGGCAAAGGCCTGGAGGCCAAAGGCATGGCTTGAAGCCTTAACCATATAGCTTGGAAGCCAGGCTGGAATGTGGAACACTGGAAGAGGAGGAGGACAGCCGGTGACATGGAGCAAAGTGATGCAGCAGGCAAGGGCAGTGATGGGTATAGGCAGTACTCAGGACACGACCTTGGGACAGAGTAAGGAGCGAAAACTAATCCTAACCCTGTGTTTGGAGGCAAACCCCCTCGGCAGCACTAAGAAGGCTGTGAGTTGGGAACGCTCCAGCTACTTTTTCTGTGGAAATGTTCTGCAAGCTGAGGCTGCAAGATTCTCAAAGACTGGGAACTTGTCACTACAAACCGCTTGGTATTATAATATTTTTAATACTATGTACCTATTACATTAGTAACACTTGCATGGAGGTGTATGTGTATCTTGGCAAACCAAGATTGTGGTCTGAGAAGGCAAGCCACTCTATGACCAGACAGCTCACAGGCCAGGTGGTGAGCTTCTAAGCTGGGGTAAAGGTTGTTTGAAATAAAAATACTAGCAGGAAAGTTAAACAAACAGATTCAATGCAGAGAGTTAGTAAGCTAGAATGTGTAGCTAACATGTGGAGAGGGGAAAGATTTGGTAGGTGGATGGTAGCATGGGTCTACACAGAAACTCTAAAGAGAAACAGAAAAGGCAATAAATAAAAACATCTTTTCTCAAACTCAAAAACCATAAGCCAATACATTCAGGAAACCCAACGCTTCTCACAAGCACGATGGCAGGCCTCGTGGCCAGACACACTGTAATTAAGCCTTAGGACCCCAGGGGCAAGGAAGGATGCTGGAGCACGGCCAGAGGAGAGAGGCAAATGCACGGCCAGAGGAGAATGAAGAGTACAGCCAGCCTAGACATGGTATGCGAAGAATCGGGGTAGAATAAAGATGTGCATTGCCAGTTGGGAATTGAGAGAGCACAGAAGCAAGATGCCTAATCGGGTGGACTTTACACAAGATCTCGGGGAGGCAGCCTGCGATGCAACGCTGTCAAAGGGCAAGGCTCGAAGGAATTTCAAATATGGATTGTCTTAAGTAATGGGGGGAGAGAGCAAGAAGACGGAGGGGTTGCAGACACAGCTCAAGGTTAAGAGCGCATGCTGCTTCTGCGGAGGACTGGTGTTCAGTTCCCAGCACCGTATCAGGTGACTCACAACCATCTGGAATTCCAGCTCCAAGGGACCCAATGACCTCTTCTGGCCTCTGAGGTGGTGTGTGTGTGTGTGTGTGTGTGTGTGTGTGTGTGTGTGTGTGTGTGTGTACACATATGTAAGTTGGGATGGGAAGGGTCATATATTTTTCAGTGCTTTCTGTGGTTGGTGGTTGAGAAAGGATGCAGGGTGAAGGTTTTGAAGCTACACTTGCATATACAAATTTAAGAGTCACTTCAATAAGTAGAAAAAAATGTAAACCAAAGGGAAAAAATTTTCAATTCAGAAAAGGTAAAGAGAAAAAGACATGCAGACAAAGTGAATTCTGTAACCACAATGGAAAAATGAGTTAAAATACATCATCAAAAGTTAAAAAGCTGTGCTGTCTCTGGGGACTGTGGAGCCTTCAGGAGTTGAGGCCCAGCTGGTGCAAGGAGGCCACGAGGGTCAGCTGTCTGAAGGTTGTAGCCTGGTCCCTAGTTCTAACTGCTCCCTGCCACTGGCCTATAGCAACGTGGTTAGTCTAGGCCATGTTCCTGCCACCGTGAATTCCACTAAGCCTTTCCACCACAGTGGACTAGAAGGTCTCAAACCCTGAACCAAAATAAACTTTTCTTCCTTTAAATTGTTTCTGTCAGCTATCTGATCACCGTGACACAAGTGATCTGCCTAAATCTATCTATCCATCTATCTATCTATCTATCTATCTATCTATCTATCTATCCATCTATCTATCCATCCATCCATCTATCTATCTATCTATCTATCTATCTATCTATCTATCTATCTATCTATCGATCTATCATCTATTTATATCTATAATCTATCCATCATCTATTCATCTATCTATCACAATCTATATATCTATCATCTATCTACCTTTTATCATTTATCTGTCATCTATAATTTATCTGTCTACCTATCACCTATCTATAATTTATATATCTATCTTCTATCATCTACCAAAAATTTATCTATCACCCATCTCTCTTCTATCTATATATGCACAATAGACTATCATTCAGACATTGAAGACCAACATTTTGTCATTTGTAGAAACATGGCTGGAATCCTGTGTTTTCATCTGTGTGGAAGACAAAACTGACCTCAAAGAAATAAATGAAGTATGGCTACCAGAGCCTTGGTGGAACAGAGAAAGGGAGGGGGAGATGATAGCCAATAGGGATGGGGTACAGGTGGATCAGAGAATAATACCATCTAATGCTCTGTAGCACAGCAGAATAACTATTGGTGGACAACAATTAATCGAATATTTCAAAGTAGCTAATAGCATTTTGAGTATTCCCAATGCTAAGAAAGGATGCTTTATCTGAGATAGTGGCTATGTTAACAACTGACCTAATCACTACATATTACATGAATGTTTTAAAGTGCTACACTGTATAATATAATTACTATATACTAATTAAAATGTTAATAAATAAGTTAAAAAATAAAAAAGAAATATCACATTCATGTTATGTTTTAAAAGGGTTGTAAGCATTTGCCAATGTACTTGGAGCATACCTTATTTATATCTTCTGAGCTGGAATAGGAACTCACCTTGGTCCTTTCCTTTTATCGAAAGTGTCTTGAAGTGGATGACAATTTGATCACCCTGTAAGAAGACACACTTAAGACACAAGGACTAGAAAAGGCAGAGGGTAAAGGGATGGGGAAGTTGTATTTGGTAATCAGAGGAAAGTCGATCCAGCCAAATTACTAACAAACAAAGATAACCGCTAAGGGGACCAGAGACGGCTCAGCAGTTCAGAGTACTGGCTGCTCTTGCAGAAGACCATGGTTTGCTTCCCAACATCCACATGGCAGCTTGTAACCATCTGTAACTGCAGTCCCAGGAGATCTGATGCCCGTGTTTAGCCTCTGTGGGCATTGTACACACACAGACGGTAAGTAGTCATACCTGCAGGCAAAACACTCATTTACATAATATGAAAATCTTCGACAAAAAGACAAATGTCAATATTTGGCATCACTAGGAATAGAGAAGTTTACTATCTAAAGATAAAAGCTCCAGAATATAAGCTGGGCAGTGGTGGTGCAGGTCTTTAATCCCAGTACTCGGGAGGCAGAGACAGGCAGATCTCTGTGAGTTCGAAGTCAGCCTGGTCTACAGAGCGAGATCCAGGACAGGGACCAAAGCTACAGAAAAACTCTGTCTCAAAAAAAAAGTTTTAGAATATAAAAAAATGGAAATTCTTAAAATATCTGAACCTAACAAACACCTTCAAATACTTCAGACACTAACAGGTGGGCAGAGAGAAGCAATCGCTCCAACACAGTGATGAAATCTCTCTCTCTCTTTTTTTTTTTTTTGTTTGTTTTTTGAGACAGGGTTTCTCTGTGTAGTTTTGGTGACTGTCCTGGATTTTGCTCTGTAGACCAGGCTGGCCTCGAACTGACAGAGATCCGCCTGGCTCTGCCTCCTGAGTGCTGGGATTAAAGGCATGAGTCACTGCCGCCCGGCTTCAGGTTGATTTTTTAAATTGTGTGTATGTATGTGTATCTGTGTGGAGGCATGTGTCTATGTGTGGATGTGCTTATATGAGTGCAGGTGCCCTCAGAGGCCGGAGTGGGTGTGGGATGCCCCGAAACTGGACTGTGAGCCCCTCAGCATGGGTACTGGGAACAGAGCTTGGCCCTTCCAGCAGGAGCACACTCCTACCTCTGCAGGTCCTAATGCAACTCCTCTAAGAGATCAAATATATTCAGCAATGACACAGACCAATGCCACTGAGAAACTATCTAGCCACCTGTGGAGCACACACCTGTCATCTCAAAATTTGGTAGTGGGAGGATTCCAAGTTTAAGGCTAGCCTTGGCTATAGAGCAAGATTCTCCTCAGAAAATGGGGGTGAGGAGGGCATGCTGGGAAAATTGCATGGTCTAGAGCATTCCATGCACAGTCCCAAGGAAGTTCTGAGCCTAGCACCCATGTAACAGGCTGCACATGCATGCTTGCACCCCAGCTACAAGATGGGTGGAGACAGGAGGATTGCTGGGATTGTCTGGTTTCCAGTCTAGCTTAAAAGAGAGAGAGAGAGAGAGAGAGAGAGAGAGAGAGAGAGAGAGAGAGAGAGAGAGAGAGAGAATGCGAGCCCCAGAGACTCTGACTAAAAAAAAAAAGGTGAGGAGCACTGAGGGGACTGACATCATCTTCTGCCTTCATATGCATATACCTGAACATACACATACACACACACACACACACACACACACACACACATGCACACACATGCACACACACTCACTCACACACACTGCACACATACATACATACACATACACACACATGCACACACACATACACACACATGCACACATATATACACATACACACACGCACACATACATGCACACACACATACATACACATACACACACGCACACATACATACACACACATGCACACACACACACACATGCACACATACATACACATACACACACATACATACACACACATGCACACACACATACACACACAGTCCACACTCAAAAGAAAACATGCAATATATAAATTCTAATCAGTGCAAATAAATTTGAAATTAAGAACAATAGCATTTGATTTAATTTAAATTTAAAAGTCAAATGTGTATTTACTCATTTATAATAGTTAAATTCATTTGTCACCTTCTACCCCAGGCCCCCTTAGTACCCTGAGTGGTTTTAGGGTTTGTCTGGTTTACTCCCTGCATGCACAATTCTCTGGACTTCAGCAAGCACTGAGGGTAACCACTACTTCCTAAGGACCTGTTCCGTGTCCAGCTCTCCTTCCTCCTCAAAGCCCCTGAGCCACTCACCAGTTTGCTGTAGGGAGGATTTTGCCTTTCCCAGAATGTGCCAAGCTGAACTCACACAGAATTCCGCCCTTTTAGGCTTTTTTCCACTTTTAGTAATGTTCATTTTTATGAACACTATCTTGGCTTTAATAGCATTTTAATTAAAATATATTTTAATTAAATTATGTCATTTTACCCAGCTCTTTCCTCCCTCCAATCCTTTCCATGTACGCCACCCCCTTGATCTCTCTCATATTCATGGTCTCTATTTTAGTTGTTGCACACACACACACACACACACACCCCTAAATACAGTAATACAACCTACTCAGTCGATAGAGCATTACGTGTATGTGTGTGTGTATGATTTCAGGGCTGACCACTTGGTACTGGATATTCAGTTCAGGGGCTCTTCCTTGGGGAAGACATCTGTTTCTACCAGTCTCAGCATTCCTTGGTTGCCTGTAGTTCTTTGTCAGCCCCATGAAACTTCTCTCAGCATATCAATCAGTATCCTTTACAGAAAACCACAACTGATCAAAATGCAGAGGGACCAGTGACTATGGGTGGCCCAGTCCCAACTCATTTTTTTGTTTGTTTTTGCTTTGTTTGTTTGTTTTTCAAGACAGGGTTTCTCTGTGTAGCTTTGCGCCTTTCCTGGATCTCACTCTGCCGACCAGGCTGGCCTCGAACTCACAGAGATCTGCCTGGCTCTGCCTCCCAAGTGCTGGGATTAAAGACATGCGCCACCACTGCCTGGCTAGCCCCAACACATATGTCTACACCACAACTCCCACACCTGAGGCTCAGGGATTATAGCAGAAGGGAGGTGGAAAGATTGTAAAAACAAAGTTTACTGTGAAATTTTATCTCCTAGAAGTGCAGAGAAGCTGTAACCATGAGGTCTCATCAACATGGCTGCCTGACCCCCCTTTTTAAGTCACGCACTTGGCTGCATGCATGAACCACATTCACTGCTGAAGGACATTCTAGTTGTTCGGCAACTGTGAAGAAGACCACGATAAACATCTCTGTGGAAGTTTTTGTGTGTGGACTTAAGTTTTCAAAGCATTTGGATAAACCTCTATGAGCATGGGTGCTAGGGATGCTGGGATGCTGGATCACTCGGCAACAGTATGACTTGCTTTGTAAACAGCTATCAACTGTCTTTCAAATGGTCAGCATGACTCTGTAATTCCACCAATGATGAATGAGAATTCTGTTTGTTCCACGTCCTTGCCAGGAACTGCTATGATCAGTTCACTTTATTTCAGCCATTCTGGATAGGCGTATAGCAGTGGTGTGATTGTTGTGGATTGCAATTGCTAATGACATCTTTTTATCTTCTCATTTTCTGTCTATATTTCTCCTTAGAGGATTGCTCTTCTTGTGCCTATGTCTTAATTTCTACATCTGTATGTCTGTCTATCTATGTCTCTCTATATATATATTTATCTCAGGATCTTCTACATGTTAGACAAGTGTTTCAACTACTGGACTAAAAACCCCAGCCATATTTGCCTAGCTTTAGAGACTTATTTTTATCAGTGTATACATGAGTGCAGGTACCTAGGGTGTCCAGAAGAGGGAGTCAGACTGCCCCATGGAGCTGGAGTTATGCTGGGTGCTGGGAGTCAAACTGGGGTCCACTGCAAGAGCGGCACCTGCTCTTAACTGCTGAGCCACACCACACACACCCAAGCCACTGCAGCCTATTTCAAAACCTGTACTTTAGATATAAGCCCTTATCCAATGCTCGTTTTTTGGTTTTGGGGGTTTTTTGTTTGTTTGTTTGTTTGAAGCAGGGTTTCTCTGTGTAGCTTTGCGCCTTTCCTGGATCTCACTCTGTAGACCAGCCTGGCCTCGAACTCACAGAGATCTGCCTGGTTCTGCCTCCCGAGTGCTGGGATTGAAGGTGTGCACCACCACCACCCGACTCCAATGCTCGTTTGGCCTCTGACTTTTCACCCTTCTCGTGGGGGTCTTTGTAGAGCACACAGTCTCAGTTTTAAACAAGCCCCAATGTACTTATTCTTTTTCTTTCTGAGGTTTTACTTTTGACGTTATAGCCAAAAAATCTCATTGCCGAATCCAAGATCTCTAAGGTTTTCTGCTATTTTTATTCTAGAAGTTTTTTTTTTCTTTTTTTGTTTTTTTGGTTTTTCGAGACAGGGTTTCTCTGTGTAGCTTTGCGCCTCTCCTGGAACTCACTTGGTAGCCCAGACTGGCCTCGAACTCACAGAGATCCGCCTGGCTCTGCCTCCCGAGTGCTGGGATTAAAGGCGTGCGCCACCACCGCCTGGCCTATTCTAGAAGTTTTATTCTGTTGTTTCACATTTAAGTCTATGGTCTGATTTGAGTTAATTTTTGTAAAAGGTGGATGTATCTAGATTAATATTTTCCCTATAGATAGCCAAATAGTATAGTACACTCATTGAGAAGACTCCATTTCCTCCACTACGTTTCGCCCAGTTGACTGCATCTGTGCGGACCTGGTGCCGAGCTCTGCTCGGTTTCATGGATCTGTGTGCATACCCTTGTGTCGACACCAGTCTATCTCAACTGTGCTAGTTTTACTGGAAGTCTTGGTATTTTGATGCAAATGCCGAAACGCATACATCCACACCATTCAATCTACTTCCACATGGTCATGGTGGCCATGCTCGGTCATCTGAACATCAACAGAGAAGGATCAACTTAACTTTGGCCGTGAGTCTTCTCACTGCTCAATACATTAAGGAAAAAACTTGTGAGTACCTCAAACATTAAAGAAATCATAGGAAATTAAAGTATTTATAAGTGATGACAATGAAGAATCAAATGTATGGGTGGTTTAAAAGTGGTAATTTGTAGGGATGTAGAGCTTTGGCTTTTTAATAGAAAATTAAAGGCTGAATATCGATCAATTAAGTTTCATTATAAAAAGTAAAAGAAAAAGTAAAGAATAAATTCAAAGAAGATAATAAAAATTCAGGCCAAAGTAAAAGAAGGAAGCTGGGTCTGGCACTATAGGCCTGTAATTCCAACTACTTGTGAAGCTGAGGCAGGAGGATCCCAAGGTTGAGGGGCTGCCTAGGGTACAAGATGATTTCAAGGCCAGCCTGGTTAATTTAGCATTACTCAGATACCCATAGGGACTGGTAGTCTGCAAGGCTCCTGACCACCCGTCCCTCCCCTGAGCACTCCTCCCTCCACGGAATACCCATGGGGATTGGCAATCTGCAAGACCCCTGACCACACCGCCCTCCCCTGATCCTAAAGGTCCTGCTAGAAGAACAGACAATCCAGTATTCCACCTGCACACAGAAAATGGCCAGGTGCCACACCTGAAAACTCACGCGTCCCTTGAGGATAGCCTGCTCTTTCCACAGAGTCCCCACAGCTGAACAGGCCCAGGCACATTCCCGCCCACATCTGTGTTGAGAACATGGCTCCACACTCACCAGGTACCATCAGAATTGCCACCTTCTACACACACCCCCGTCCCTCCTCCCTGGAGACAGGACCACAAGTCTAAGCCAGGGCCCACCTGACTGCTGTCCAGACCCAACTGTGTCCTTGGAAGCAGAACCCTGGGGTTCCATTGGTGGCTGGAGATGGTGTCACAATGGGATGGAAAGAGTGGGCTGGGAATGTCGAGGGCCATATTCTACTCCAGACACACAAGTGGCCCCAGACTTGGGGCCAGAATTGGTTAAGGCAAGTATACAAACCGCCTGTGAGGCAACCTTGTGCCTTTACGCAAATTGTCCTCTATACTGTGTTGCTAATGTTTTCCTACCTGGCCCACAGTCAGGACAAACTCTCTCACCTGCCAGTCCCACAGCCACTCAGACCCGACCAAGTAAACACAGAGACTTATATTGGTTACAAACTGTATGGCCGTGGCAGGCTTCTTGCTAACTGTTCTTACAGCTTAAATTAATCCATTTCTATTAATCTATACCTTGCCACGTGGCTTGTGGCTTACCGGTACTTTACATCTTCCTTGTCCTGATGGCGGCTCGCAGTGTCTCCCTCACTCAGCTTCCTGTTCTCTCAATTCGCCTCTCTGTTAGTCCTGCCTATACTTCCTGCCTGGCCACTGACCAATCAGTGATTTATTCATTGACCAATCAGCAACACATTTGACATACAGACCATCCCACAGCAATACTAAAAGCCCTTCCCCTCCAAATGAACCCCCTTTGTCAGTTGTCCTTCAAGCCTTCCTGAATCCCACACCTGGAAGGGCCTATCTCTACACTACACCTCTGTTCTGCCTCAAGGTCACTACTCCATCAGCCAGTTTGATAGAACCGCAAGAGTCTGACCCACCTCCCAAGGAGCCAGAGCCCTTCTCTGTTAGTGGAAATGGGACTCCAGTCTTTTCTCTTGGAATAGAGGTAGGGAATCAATATAGGACCAGGAGCCAGCCTGAACTGGTTGTGGGGAAGCAGAGGACCTGAGGGACCCTGACTCTGGCCCTAGGACATGGCTCAGAGACACCTGGTAAGAAGCAGGGATGACAGCAAAGGAGGCTGGGGACCAGACTTGCCAGACATCTCCATCGGTGCACACAACATTGCTCAGGACACTGGGAAAACTGGCTGAGAAAAATTAGGACACAGGACTTAGGAGACAACTCAGCAGGCTAAGGGCTCACCACACAAGTGTAGAGGACCTATGTGGAAGCTGGAAGTGATGGCTTATGTAGTAATCCCAGCACTGCAGAGGCAGAGACGAGGGGACCCCTGAGGCCAGCTGGACAGCCAGCCTAGCCTGATTGGCACATCTCAGGTACCAGTAACAGATTTCATCTCATCTAACAAGATGGAGGGGCTGGGGAGAAGGCTCAGCAGTTGGTAAAGAGCTTGCCACATAAGCACGAAGCCCTGAATTCAAATCTCCAAGCAGCCGTGTAAAAGCTAGGCATAGCCCCATCCATATACCTGCATTGCACTGCAGGGGGGAAGGGAGGGAGACAGGTGGAGGGGGATGGGAGGGGGACAGGTAGACCCCTGGAGCTCATTAGTCAGCCAGACTCTCTAAATCAAAGACCTTCAGGTTCAGTGAGACCAAATCTCAAAAAGTAAGGGGGAGAATGATTGAAAAAGACACCTGGTGTTGACCTCTGGCACACACACACACACACACACACACACACACACACACACACACACGAGACAGACAGACAGAGCGAGAAGGTATGTGGCTCCCAAACAATGGCACCCAAGGTTAACCTCTGGCTTCCACATATGTACATATATACACACATGCACACTCCTCTCCCTCCTTACCTCCTCCCTCCCACTCTGAATTTGCTGTTAGATAAAAGCCACCATCACAGAGAACCATCCTTACCGCCACTTGTCAGTTCATGCATCTTCAAGTCTCCAGTTACCTGGGAAGGCACAGAAATTTTCTTGGTGTCTGGGACATAGAACCTCTCTTCTTCATCAGGTCTCCCGGATGTTTATGGGTCACCTGAGCAGCTGGTCCAAGGCCCTCAGGCTCCTTTGAGTTCCCCAATCTTAAAAGTCGAGGCCTGAGCAAGTGGCACAGTGGGAACCCAGCAGTTGGTAAGGACAACAATCAGGATGCGGAGCCACCTGGCCCTGCGAGCCCTGCCTATGGCCTCATCTCTAGGCACTGGAGAGCACTGAGGCCACCTGAGACCGATGCTCCAGTGAACACGTGACAGAGAGATGCTTAAGGGCAAAAAACATTGTTTCTTTACACATGAGCTTAAAGAGCTAACATTCATGCCAGCTATACATCTAATTAGCTTTGTTTTTAATTAAACATGCACATACACATGATAGGGCTGCGGAGGTGGTTTAGTGAGTACCGTGTTTGCCGCGCAAGCACGAGGGCCTATGTTTGAATTCCCCAGAACTTATGTAAAGCAGGAGTGGTAGTGTACATCTATAACCCACCAGCATTACTGTAGTGAGATGGGAATCCCCAGAAGGTACTCTGGAATACACAGCAAAGAGACTGTCTCAGGCAAGACAGAAGGCCAAGAACAACGCAAGGTCACCCTCTGTGGTGGTTTAAAAGAAAATGGCCCCCAAGGGGAGTCGCTGTTGGGAGGTGTGGCCTTGTTGGAGGAAGTGCGTCACTGTGGAGGTGGGCTTTTTTTTTTTTAAAGATTTATTTATTTATTGTGTATACAGTGTTCTGCCTGCATATATGCCTATCTGCCAGAAGAGGGCACCAGATCTCATTACAGATGGTTATGAGCCAACATGTGATTGCTGGGGATTGAACTCAGGACCTCTGGAAGAGCAGGCAGTGCTCTTAACCTCTGAGCCATCTCTCCAGCCCTGGAGGTGGGCTTTGAGGTCTCATATTATGCTCAAGCTCTGCTCAGTGTGATAATGAGACCACTTCCTGTTGCCAGCAAGATGTAGGGCTCCTAGCTAATTCTCCAGAACCATGTCTGCCTGCTTAATGCCATGTCCCAACCATAATGATAATAGACTGAATCTCTGAAACTGTAAGCCGTCAAGTCAATGAAATGTTTTCTTTATAAGAGTTGCTGTGGTCATGGTGTCTCTTCATAGCAATAGAGACCCTAACTATAAAACCCTCTGACCCCCACATGCCACACATATACACGGCATCCATGCACACATATAGTTACATCATTTACATACAAAACCCTAGAATACCATTTGTCGCCCTTTGCTGTATGAAGAAACTAGTAAATATAAGGGTCTTTAACCCATGTGAGCTGAATGCAGAACTGATGGTCACTTTGGCCCTAGTTTCTGAGGAACAAAAGCCAGGAGATGGCAATCAGGGAGCAATGCAGCAAGGGCCAGTCCCACAGGGAGGCCCTGAGACCTTCTTGTTGCCGATATGATGGCAGTCAAGTCTTGTCCCAGACTCCTATGGAGGCAAGTGGCCTGGGCTGACCACCTGGCACAGTGGACAGTCATTGGCTCACTAGAGAGCTCTGAGAATAGCGGATACTCCAGAAGGACCGGAAGTGTCTTGCTGCCATGGATACATGGAGGCAAATGCAACTGAGAGCCTTCACTCACCTGCCTGATGCCCAGGATCCTTGACCCACGGAAACGGGGGACAGAGGCTGACAAGGAAAGAGGGGTAACATTCACCAGCAACCAGGTTTGAGACAAAGGTCATGACATCACCGCTAGGTCAATATGTTTGCTAGTAGGCAGCCTGGAGAGTTGGCACATGGTGGCCCCTGTTTGTGAAGCAAGGGGACGAGTTCCTGGTTGGGAAATGCAGGACGGGAGACATGCAGAGTGGAGAAGAAAAATGACCATTAGTAGAGACAGAAAAGACGTCCATTAGAAGCAGCGCTGTTAAGTGTCCAGGGGAGGCTGGTCGCTGAATTCGCAGAAAACTGCAAGTGTACAGTGCATGACTCTCTCGCCATCTGGGGTACAGAGACAGCACAGGTACTCGGGATGCTGTGGCTTTTCTAGTTGGACACAACCAAACAACACAAGAATTAAAGTGTGAGGTGCTGGTGACAAGGACAGGACCAATCTGTCTCAACAGCAGTTGGAAGGATGGCTTCATCCTGTGATCTGAGAGGTGAGAGAGAGACTAGAAGAGCCAACAAAGCACAGGGTCCCAGTGGAGCTGAGAGTGCTGCTGTACAATGCTTGCATTCCCTCCAGTTCGGACATGATACCCCTTACCCCGGGTCATGGTATGTGGAGGCCAGGGCATGACTATAATTAGATCATACCTAAACATGGTCATTAGGGTGGGACCTTCCAGATGGAATTAGTGACCTTACAGGAAGGGGGAAAGAGAAATTTCTCTCCATGCATACACACCAAGGAAGGCCATGTGATGACCAAGAAAAGTGGCCTTCCATACCTGAGGTCTAGAGGAGGATGTATAGGGATGCACATAAGTATATGGAAAGGCTCTTCACCAGAACCTGGCCACACTGGCACCCTCACCTCAGACTACCTGTCTGCTGTTGTGGTACCCCAGGCAGGAAAGAAAGTCACAAACCAACCAAAGTATTAACACGCCATTAGAGTTTGAATATGAAATGACCCCAAGAGCTTCGTGTGACTATTTGATACTATTTGAGAAACTTTAGGAGGTGGGGCCTAGGAGAAAGCAGGTCACCGGAAGCACACCTCTGAAAGCTGCGCATGGTCCTCAGTCCATTCCTCACCTTCTTCCCTAACCATCAGGAGAACTTTCCCCACCACACATCCCCACCCCCAGGATGTTCTGCTGACGCACATGAGGCTCAGCAGCTATGGATGAAAACTTTTGAAACCCTGAGCAGAAATCCTTCCTCCATGAAAGTTGTTCTGTTAGGGCTGAAGAGATGGCTCAGCAGTTAGGCGATCTTGCTGAGTTCCATTCTATTCTGGTACCTACGTTGGGCAGCTTACAGACACCTGTTACTCTAGCTCCAGGGGACCTGATGCCCTCTTCTGGCCTATTCAGGTACAGCATTCACAAGGCAGGCTGGTAAACATACACAAATAAAAAATAAACCTTGAACTTGTTCTCTCTCATGTCGGTCAGTTACACAGAAGGAACGAGAGCAGATGTTGTAGTAAGAAAATGAGGTGTCTGAATGAGACTCATCTACTCATTTATATGAGATTTCGGCAGGAAATGACTTTCTCCAAAGATGACAGTAACTGGAATAGACAGGGTGGCCATGAGCCAGGTAGAAAAGTTACAGAAGAATGGGGCATGTGACCTGGAGGTGCAGACACAAAAGAGACCAGACTCGGGGAGAGGGTTCCCACAGACTGAGTTTGGCAAGTGAAGGCGCACTGAGGAGGAAAGGGGTTCTTCACCCAGCGCTCCTGCTGTGGGAGCTTTTACAACCATATGCAGAGGCAGGGGGACAGAGCACTTCCGAGAAGGGCTGAGGACATGGGTTATCTACTGACATTGGTCCACAGTTCCAAGGACACAGGTTTGCACCTGTGAGAGGAACTGGACGACATAAGGGCCAGGCCTCTGGGGACCGTGTCAAAGCAGAGATACAGTTAACCAGAGGAGTATGGCAACATCTTAGAGCTTGGACACAGAGAAGCCAAGAATTCAAGATGTCTAGGATAGTGGTCTCAATCTCAGAAGTCACCTGTGGAGAGCAGACTGCCAGACTTCTTTGCTTTTCATGCTCAAGCAGAGTTTGCAGTTTAACATGAAGTAACCTATGAAATCACCCGTTTGGTGCAAGTGTGTGGGTAGGTGAGAGTGTCTCCCATATGATGAACAAAATCTCTCACTGTAAAATGGGAAGGCTGGGGTCCAGATTTGGAGGACCCCTGCCCCCCCAATGCTCAAGATCTGAATGCTGCACCAGCCCCAACAAAGACAACCACAGCACTGAATAGCAAGTCACTGTGTATCAGCTTTTATCTGTTCAACAGCACCCTCTAGAGGACATGTGTGGATTGGCATATGCTAGCCACCATGTTCTCCTTAAGATTCCCTTGAGATCTGGGGCTGGAGAGATGGCTCAGAGGTCCTTCCAGAGGTCCTGAGTTCAATTCCCAGCAACCACATGGTGGCTCATAGCCATCTATAATTTGATCTTGTGCCCTCTTCTGGTGTGCAGGCATATATGTAGGCAGAACACTGTATACATAATAAGATTCCCTTGAGATCTGGCCTGGGCAAAATCTCCTCTGGGCTCCCAGATAGCTTAGCTTCTGAACTGCTCATGAGCAAACACTAAAGATAACCCGCTTAGCAGGGTAAGCCATAGGACATTTGGAAATGTCCACAGCAGCTTATCCTCAACTACTCCCATCTCTAAACAAGGGTGAGAGAACGGTGTTTCCACTAGCAAACAGCACAGAGAACCTCTAAATGACCCACGAGTTTGCCGTGGTAGCAGAGGCAACTCTTAGCAGCCATCAAATGCAGACTGCTGATAAGCCAGGGCATGATGGGAAATAACAACCACAATCAGCTAAGCAGAAGGAGCTCTACCCTCTTCCTTACCTATTGGGCATCAAGGCACAGTGGGTGGGGGAGGGGCTGCCCAGTCTCCTTTCCTTGGCAGCCTCACACATGCAAGGCACAAGCTGGCCACTGGCCAGAAAGAAGGGATCTTCAAAGTAAATCTGGCAAAACATGTTTCTTTGTTAGCCTGCTCCCACAGCTGGTCCTACTGGTCCCTGTTCTGGGTTTGAGCTGCTTTTATTTGGGAGGGAGCTGTCCCCTTCTGTTTGTTTCCTGAGGGTGGAGTATTCCAAACTAAGGGGACAGTGAGGCCATAACTCCAGAGACAGTCAAGGAAGACCAAGTCACGGTACTGGGGTGTGGTGTGTGTGTGTGAGACATGAGGAGAAAGGGGTAGAGTCCTTGATACTTCCATTGGGTTCACAGCATGGAGCCGGGGCTGTGAACAGGTCATGGTGTGTTGCCTACATGAACAAGGCTGCATGGTGCCTGTTTCCCTTTGCATCCTGACAAAATCCAGAAGATGGTGTGGCAGTCCTCTGTTTTTGATGGGCTGGCTCTTAGTGACCATCATCAGAAGTATGAACTCTTCACAACAGCCATCCTCCTATTGGAAGTCCTTCCTGTGGCCTCCACTTCTTTTCTCTGGGGTGTTGCATTGTGGGACCTACAAGGAGGAGAACAGAGTCAGTGGCTGCCCAGCACACGGTCCCATGACAGATCTCTCACCATTCCTTGCGTAAAGGAGGGAGAATGTGCGCTAAAGCCAGTCAGATATCAGTGGTACCAAGGGGGCACCATGTTGCCCAGTAAGCAATGAGTAAGCAATAATGGAGTGATGGTGATGGGGAGGCCTGCCCCTCGGGAGAGGGCTCCTGATGTGAGGCCCAGAAGCCAATGCTCACCGTGGGAGGCACCCCTGTTCCAGGTCCTGGATGGTGTCCTTCAGCGTCTGGCCCCGTGTCTCAGGCAGCAGAGCACACAGCAGGCCTGCCCCGATCGGGAGGCTGCCAAAGATGAGCATGGGGAGTGCCCTGTGGTACTGTTCCAGCAGCATCACGAGCGGTGAGATGATGCCCCCAATCCTGGAGAAGATGCTCACCAACCCCATGCCTGTTTGCCTGGGGAAAGCAGCACAAGCCTTCGCTCTTACTTCCGTCCCACACTCTGGTCATGAGAAGGCCATGGCACGCCCATGTCTCTCTGTCCTCCAGTGTCCTGTGGCGACTTGGGGAGTTGCTCTAAACTTCCAGTGGCCTAGGCCCGTAGGCAGCTCACTGGCTGCCTGTGGCTGGTGGCAAAGGGCCAGAAGGATGGGTGATATTAGATTCCCCCGGGCAGAGAACCAAAGTCACCCCAGCAGTTCTCACCTGATGATGGTGGGAAAGAGCTCAGCAGTGTACACATAGGATATGGTGAAGGCAGCAGATGAGGCAAACTTCCCCACCACGGCTAGCACAGTGACCACCGTGGGGAGACCTGGAGGAGAACGCGGGTCAGCCATACAGAGAGAAGGACACCATCACCTAAGCCTGCACACCTCCCTGTCTGCTCAAGTGCCTCACCCTCTACGCCCAAACCCTGGGGAAGCCTTGGTCCTGAAGGGGAGTGCGGCAATGCGGAGAGCCCTGGCAGGGAGGAAGACAGCCTCGTACCTGCTGGGATGAAGATGATGACGACGCACATGACGCCTGCCAGAGTCAGAGAACCTAACTGGCTCCACTTGCGACCCAGCTTCTCCATCATGAAGATGCTGGAATAGCGGGCAGGCAACTCCACTGCCCCAAATATCAGCTGTGTCAGGTAGATGTCAAGGCCAAAGTCCCCCACTTGGAGGCTAAATCCGTAGTACACCAGACTGTCCACAAACCTACAAAGTACCAAGTATCCCTGTCACTGCTGGGTGTACATCAAGTCATACCCAAAGGAACAGCCTGGCTCAAGGAGCTCACACCAGGGGAGGGACCACGATGCTCACAGAGCCTCTGTCCATCCCTCCAGTGACACACTGCAGAGCAGTCCTCTGGCTCTGTCCTCACTGAGGGACAAGGCCCTGGGCACTTACCAGACAGCAATGAGAATCAGGGTCACCTTCCTGAGACGGGGGTGTCTGAAGAGATCCAGGGCATTCCCCGAGGGGCCTGTCTTCTCAGGGACCAGCTAGAAGAAGGGCACAATGAGGGGCCGGGACACAGGCATAGAGACTGGCTTGAGGCAGGGGTGAGCCTGCGCCTGCTAACAGGTACCTGGCTCAGGAGCTCTGGAGAAAGTGGCCGCCTGTTCACTGAAGCTGCCTTCTGGACCAGCTGTTTGGCCTCCTCTATCTTTCCTTGGGAGAGGAGCCACCGTGGAGATTCTGGCAAAACCCTGTCAACCACACATGATTCTGATACTGAGGTTGATCCCTGTGCAGCCGCCCAGAATTCCAGGGCACACTGAGTCTCCCACCCAAGCTCCACAGGCCCCTCCTCTGCACCCTACCACAGCACTCCCAACAGAGGGTGGCCTATCACTGCCAAGGGTCTCCCTACCAGAAGTAGAAGACAAGCAAGAAGACTGGTGTGGTGCCTATTAGCTGAAGGAGTCTCCAGTTGCGGACACCATAGGCCAGGCCTGCTAGCACCATCAGTCCAATGGCAAAGTTGCTCTGGGCCAGGACCATGGCTTTTGTTCTCCAGGACGGCCCCACCCATTCTGAAACTGTGAAGACAAGGCTGAGACTGGGGCGGAATCTGCCCACTCACCCACCCCTGGTGATTACCAAATGCCAGGATGTCGGAGATGTGACTCGGCCCCAGCACAGAAAACTTTGATATGACCTCCTTAGGTGCAGTTGGCTGACACCATCCCCAGAGGCAATTTCAGGCCTCTAACTCTGACTCTGAGGAAGAAGGCTCTTGGGCCCAGATACTCACGGAGGACATTGGTGCTTAGTAAATATCCAGCGATAGCAGTAGCTGTGGCAAAGTGTAGGGCCATATAGAGCTCAAAGCTGGACACAAAGGCTGTGGCTATGCTCGTAATGGCAGACAGGAGCAGCTGAACCAGGAGGGAGGGTCTTCGGCCAATCCTGAGTTAACAGAGGGACATGTTGTGAAGTGAGGAGGCCTTCCGAGGCAGGCCTGTCCTCGGCTCTCTGTCAGAGTGAGGAGACAGGGTCTTCCACGGAGCCCCACTTGAAGGCAGGCATGAGGACTTATCTTGATGACTAACAAAACTTCAGGGAATAACTGAGTCAGCAGCAGGAGCCTAAAGCATGCTGGGTCAGCGGCACATACCAGTCACAGACGGGCCCAAAGACGAGGGCCCCAACGAGGAGTCCAGCCATGAACACTGACTGTGAAGTGCTCTTCAGGTTCTTCCGATCACACACCAGGTCAAACTGAGGCAGAAAAATATTCATGTAAGGCCAAGTGCAGAATCTAGGTCCAACTTCACTTTCTAGGGCCCCACATTTTCCATGTTGTGTACCAAGTTACCCCATAGTCAACACTGTGGGCACAGGACAGTTAAAATCTAAACGGAAATATCATAGCAATCTTTGAATTCTGTCCAATATCACAACTTGCCCAAGAATTCACAATTCAACATTGGGTACAGTTTTTTCCCCTCCAATGACATTAAATTTACACAGTATCTTGTTTGACAGTTGCTTTTATAAAAAGCAAATAACTTGTGCAATTCTACATGAAACCAAAACTGCGGGTGGCAGTGTTGGAAGACCAAGAAGCTGTGCGCTGGGACATGACAGGCATCTTATTAGTGTGTTTCAGTCTTCTAAAGAACTAAGCAGATTATTTCTTTTCTTTCTGTTGCTATGGTAAAAAAAAAAAAAAAAATGACTAAAAAGCAAAAGGGTTTATTTGGTTAACACTCCCAGGTCATAATCCGTTGCTGAGGGAAGTCGGGCAGCAGCTCAAGGCAGAAGCAGAGGCAGGAATCATGGCAGAAGGCTGATTACTGGCTACTCACAGGCTCATGCTCAGCCCAAGACCACCTGCCCAGGAATAGGATCACCCGCAGTGGGTTGGGCCCTCCCACAGTCAAGACAACCTTATGGACATGGCCACCAGTTAGTCTGATCTGGGAAATCCCTCTTCCCTGGTGACTCTAGGTTATGTCAAGGTGACAATAAGCTAACCAGCACAGTGTGTACTCATGTTTTCATTTGTTTATTTTGAGGCAGGGTGTCGTGTAGCCCAGGCTGTACTCAAACTCACTTTGTAGGCAGGATAACCTTGAACTCCTCATCCTCTGCCTCCTGAGCTCAGGATCATAGGCATGTGTCACAATGACAGCTCTGTGCATTAATTTTTAAAACAACTACTTGTTAGGGTAAAAATATCATTAAACTATTTGTACTTAATTACTTAATCCATAGAACTGGTAAGTACTTCTTCTGGCACGGAGAGTACCATGTAAAATCATTGACACAAAAAGAATGTAAAATCTGGAAACTTCTGACAGACCTCTTCTAGCTGCTTCCTGACAAACAGAACCTGTCTCCTGTGTAAGCTACTCAGGCCCTCCCAAGTTTCATATGTGGCTGTCCAGTTACCTTCAAATGCCCCCAGTTTGATCAGAATTCTGAAGAGTGCTGGCGCATGCCTTTTGATCAAGACAGATACATATGCACACAAGGAGTCGGAAGAGGAATACAGATGCCCTGGGGAAAATGTCAACGCACCTAGAGATAAGCTGACCACACCAGGAAGACCGAATAGAGAAAGTATGTAGATCCACATATCCCTGCATATCTACTACAAACTTCCAGGCTGTGGTCCTGAGTGGGATTTCTGTGCCCTTGTGTGGATCAGTCCCTTGCATGAATGCTTAGGTGGGAACCCATCCTGTGAGGTCTCTTCCAGTGTCGCAACCATGTACTGTGTGCCAGCAAAGAGTGTGTCCCTACCAAAATATTCATGAGGGACCAGGATAAAGGCATGCACCACTCATGCCTAGCTTTATTTCCTACTGTAATTAGATTGCACAAGTGTGAACTTTGTAGACAATGTTGCATCACAATGTCAAAAGGTTGGACATGCCTAGTAGGAGTTTCTTAAGCCAACCAAGTTGACGACCAAAATTAACCATCCATAAGACTGAAAACACTGAAAAGAGCTGTCTCTTGCCTTTTCATAATTGCTATCCCAAATTGAACAAAAGGACCCTGGCTGGTTAGAAACATTTGGTCCAAAGTCAGACGGCAGCATGTGGAGGTGATACGTGCCTGTTGCTGTACACATAGAAGGAAACGAAGTGAAGCCTGAGAGAATATTTGCTGGGAATAGATTAATGAATAGCTGGACTAAAGCTTTCTAGCTGATCATCAATTAAGTAACTTAGCAAGAAATTAACCAATCCAGGAGTTGCTGCACTCATACTTCTCAAGGACAACAGTTCCTTCTGAAGGACTAACAGGATGTGTGGGATGGTGACCTAACTGCTTCTGAATGAGACCAGACAAGACAGGGAACTCAACTGTTGTTCTTTCCAGTTCCACACAGCCTGGTTCTGTCTAGTGCCTAGAGGTTGTATCACAGTAAGAAATCACTTAAAATGAGTGAAAGTAGATAGGGTCCTGCTGCCACCAGGCTCCACAGCTGGAGCTAAACGGCTTTGTGTGACCTCGAGCCTGTTCTCCATCTGTGCAAAAATGGGAATAAAGTCGACCATGTGATGTTACCCAATATGATCAGGTCATCTGTAGCACTTCTAGACTAGTGGCTGCTACATAGGAAACTCCCAGTCCAGGTTGGCTAGGATGACTATGAGCTGTGCCTGTGGCCACAAAGCTGTCGGGGGTGCAGTGCTTTGCAGATACAGATGCGAAGCCACATTCACTTCCAAGTCTGGCACCATTTGCCACCTCCCCTTAGTTTACATCCCTTGCAGCTTAAGTCCTTGGGAAAGCTTAACACTGCACCGTTCAGGAGTGCAGCACCTAAGACTTGCAGGCCCCCCCTTCCCTCTGTGTGCCCAGTCTCAGGTGGAGGGGTCATGTGGCAGACAACAAGGAATGAAGGGTTCTGCTGTGGGATGTCTTTCTGTAGCTATGAATATGGTTTGCTCTCATTGGCTGATAAATAAAACTGTTTGGCCAATGGTGAGGCAGAATAAGGTTAGGCGTACATTCAAATTGAAGATGGAGATGAAGGATGGAGTCAGACAGATTCTGTGAGCTGCCCCCAGGAGAAGCAAGATGTGAGAGAACAGGTAATGCTGTAAAGCTACAGGGCAAAGCATAGATTAATAGGAACATGTTGAGTTAAGTTATAAAACAGCTAGCTAGCAAGAATCCTGAGCTATAGGCCATAAAGTTTGTAATTAATATAAGCCTCTTTGTGTTTACTTGGGACCGAGCAGCTGTGGGACTGGGTGGGACACAGGAAAACTTCTGCCTACAGGGTTCCAACTTGGCATACCAGTCATCACCCTCTTTGGGTTTTAATACATACAGTGAGTGGTTCTGTTCAAGGCCCATGGTGGTGGCCCATAGACTTCCACTCTCATTTCTTAAAGCACATCCCATCTTATCTCCCTCTCCATTCCCTAAACTTCAGTGGCTCTCTCTGGTTTCTAAGAGAAAGTCCCAACTCCTTGGCTCTGCCCCTAAGACCTTTCAAAAGCTTGTACCTATCTCCCAGATACTTTTATGCCATGATCCCTCAACTGTGCTAGGCATTTCATGCCTCCAGATCCTTAAAAAAGGGCCATTCTTTCTGCATTCCCTTCCCTCCCATTCAGATGCCTTTGGTCCCTGGACAAATCACACTGCTGTGGTTCGTTGACGGTATATCCATTTCTATTCACCAGCCTATGTAGATAGGGCAGCCAGGCATGTTTTCATTTTACTGAGGTTAGGTATCCAGGTAATGTTGCAAAGATACATTGAGAAGGGAAAACATCTTCAAGGGCACACAGTCTATCATAAAACATGCTCTCTTCAAATTAGTGTCGTTTTGTTTCCATTTGAAAATGAAGCCACTCATTATAGCAAAGTGTCTGCTCAAAGAGAGTCCCTTGGGTTGTTCTGCAGAGCCCTTCCTTGTATATGGGAGCTCACGCTAAGAGAGTGCTGCTCTGGAATAGAGTTTGGGATTATCATGTGGAACAGTACACACATTTCCAAAGGTGGCAAAGGTGTACATTCCCTGGAAAATCTGAGGTAGGAGGTAGCCTGTGGGGTAGTTACGATGCCCAAGGCCTAGCCTACCCAGCACAGGATAGGTTAATAACTAAGGATAAAGAGAGGCCTCTGAAGCTGGGTGTTGGTGGTGCACGCCTTTAATCCCAGCACTCGGGAGGCAGAGGCAGATGGATGTCTAAATTCCAGGACAGCCAGGGCTACACAGAGAAACCTTGTTTCAAACAAAAAACAAAAAAAAAACAAAGAGAGAGAGAGAGAGAGAGAGAGAGAGAGAGAGAGAGAGAGAGAGAGAGGAGAAGGGGCCCTCTGAGTGGCCAATACCATGATGAAGAAGCTCAGGTGAATGTCAAATCTGAGATATGTAAACTGGAGACAAAACAATTTCAGGGAAGCGGACAACCCTAGTGTGCTGTTGCTGTGATAACCACCATGACCAAACAGGAAGAGAGCATTAGCTATCTGGCACTACAAGTCTTTGGAATACGGTAACTTATAGCCAGGCAGACTTGCAGAGGGGTACTCCGAAAGATAAAGGGGGCAGTGGATACAGATAAATGGGGACAGAAATAAAGGCAAGTGGCTGGGCATATGCCATCAACTTTTTACATGGGTGGTATGGATCCAAACTCAGCAAGTACTTTACCCACTGAGCCATCTCCCAACCTCTTGCCAATTTTTATGCATGTGTTAGTTTCAAGGGCATTAAACAAATAGACAACAACTAAAAGAGGTTATGAAGCATAGCAAACTTCCCATCTGGTCTCTGTGGCCCAGGCCCCCTTCCTTAATGCACCAGAGTTGGATTCAGCTCCCAGACATGCCATCCCTTGTCTGTAACCAGGCTTCCTCTTGCTTTTCTTCTCCATAAAATATCTCTTCCCTGTCAACAGTTTATGGGTACCTTGGTGCCACCAGGTTCACAAAAGGACAGGCAAACATGAAACCCTGATGAACAACAAGCCAAACAGACAGAGAAAATCAGAGAGGGAGAGATGGGCCAACAGACAGAGGACAAAGAGAAACATGGGATGACCAGAAAAGGGGGAACGGGCAACAGATGGTTACACACACGCATAGACACAGAAACAGAGAAAGAGGGTGATCAAAGGCACAAGGTCAGACAGAAGAACTGACAGACCCACATAAGTGGGCACACAGACAACAAGCTATCCCACCTCATTCTTCAGGGACTGAGGCCTGTTCTCAGGATAGTCCCAGCCTGAGTCACAGGCCTGGGTCTCATTGAAGCGGTGGCTGAGGATGTCTTGCAGGCTGGCGTTGTCAGGAGGGGGCCGGAACATGAGGCAGGACTCAGGCCTGCCTGCCGTGTCGTTGGGGATGCTGACTGCCAGCTGCTCAGCAGCACTTAGGTTGAAAGTGTGGTTCTTGACCCAGGACACTGAACAGTGGTGAGCCTCATCAAGGACCATGAAGATCTGACTAAACACGAAGAATGCAGACAGGAAGTTGGGGATGCCCATCAGGATGGTCACCTGTACCTGGAAGCGACCAAAGTCGCCCACTTCAGCCATGACCTGTGCAAAGTGAGCCATGTCTGCTGCTCACTCCTTAGTCTAGGAACACCAGGCAGGTCTGAAACTTGGCTTTGGGGCGCTTGCTGCTCTGGGCTGTGGTGACAGCTGAGTTAATGTTTAATCCAGTCTTGCTGAGCTCTGCCTCTCACACCTCTTCTACTAGCTGTAGCCTAAGAAGGTGTTATGGTTTGACGTTTAAATGCATCCCCTCAAAGGTCTCATCTGTTGAAGACTTGGTGTCCAGCTGGTGGTACTACTGAGAGGAAGTGCAACCTTTAGGAGGTGGGGCCTACTCAAAGGAAGTGAGTGATTTAAGGCATGCCTTTGGAGGAGATATTGCAGCCTCAATCTTTCTCTATCCCTATGCTTCCAGAATACCATGAGGCTGGCAGTCTTTATTCCAGCACACCCTTCTGTCATACTGTCAGGCTTCACCACAGAAACCAGAGCCTGGTGAACAGGAAGTCTTTGAAAACATGAACCGGAATAATCTGTCATCCTTTAAGTTACTGCTGTCCAGTCTGTTGTCACAGCACAGAAAGTCGAGTAGCACCAAAAACTGGCATTGAGAACTAGGATAGTGGCTGTGATAGCATCTCATCCAGTGGTTTAGAGTCTTTGGAAAGGGTTTGCTGAGGACGGCGGAAAGGTTCAGGGACGCAAATAAGCAGTCTTCTTGTAAACAGAGCTTTGTGGGTCATTCTGACAAGAGTACCAAAGACCAGAATGCTGATAGGAATGCAGAGTAATGGCTGTGCTCATGAGGTTCCTGATGGAAGAGAAGTTTAAGGAACCAGACTAGAATCCATCCATGTCACATTCTGGAAAACAAGTACAAACTTGTCTACATTTAATCTGTTCTGTGATGTTGTGATGCTGAGTTCAAAGACAATGGGATAATGAATCTGGTAGAAGAAATTTCATGGCAGTACAGATTCAGACAACTGCTGGCTGCTTTCAGGTAGGTTTACTGTGAGAATTAGGAATAAAAACTGAGGTATAAAGATTTGAAAAACTTTGACCAGCAAAGAGCAATTAATGTTGGGCCACACTTTAAAAAGCCAAGCTCTTTTCATTGGGACAATAAGAAAGATGCCTTAAGAACAGTTTAAGAATTGGCCCCTCCCATTCCAGGGTGAAATTGTAAACTCATTTGAAAGGCTTTGCTTTGAGAAGACAGTGCTAGGATGCCTTCCACATATAGAGCAACCTAAGGAAATGCTTTGTTGTGTCAGACACTCAAGATCTGAATGGTTACTTCAGCCACGGTCAAAGGAGGACCAATGACCTCTACAATGGGTGGCAGACCTTGGAATAATCTATATGGTCCTGGCTTTGTAGTTGTACAGAATTTGAAAGTTACCAAATCATGGGGGTCAAGGAAAGTCTGTGAGGCCAGACTATGTGTCTTGGTTTGGATTTCTATTGCTATGAAGAGGCACTATGACCACAGCAACTATTATAAAGAAAAATATTTAATTAGGGATGGATTACAGTTTCAGAGGTTTAGTCTATTATTGTCATGGCAAGAAGCAAGGCAGCATGGAGGCTGACATGATGCTGGAGAGGTAGCTGAGAGTTCTACATCTTGATCTGCAGGCAACAGGAAATGAATTGTCTCCCACACTGAGCATGCCTTGAGCATATGAAACTACAAAGCTTGCCTCACAGTGACACATCTACTCCAACAAGGCCACACCTCCTGATAGTGCCACTCCCTATGGGCCAAGAATCCAAGCACATGAGTCTCTGGGGGCCATACTCCTTCAAACCTCCACATTCCATCCCTGGATCCCATGGGCCTGTAACCATAACATAATGCAAAATGCATTTAGTCCACTATGTGTTTTGGAGTTGAAGTCTGTTCAGGAAGCTGTTGAATAAGCAATAACTTAAGCCATGAGGATGATACAAGGCTGTAATGGAGACCCCAGGAATTTAAAGATGGCTGGAACATGAAATATTAAGGAAAACCATACACATTGAGCAGATACAGTCTAGAGTAGTGGTCATGTGGGATGCAGACAACAAGACTGTAAGGGGGAAGCTGTCCAAATCCTTTGGTGCTCACATCATACCACCATGTGCCCCACACACTGAACATGTGATCCCACGGGTCATGTATAAGGTTCCTTTTCCACGTGGTCACTAGCATTTGTTGTGATTTGCTTTCTTGATAATAGTTGTTTCAACTGGGTGAAGCATAAGCTCAATGTAACTTCCTTATGACTAACAATATTGGACATTTCTTCATGTATTTATTAATCATCTTTGTTTTTTGAGAAATGTCTTTAAATTTACTTGCACATCCATTGTTTGCCCTTTTGGGGAAAGGGAGTGATTTTAGTTCTTTATATATTGTGAATAATCATCCTGTCCAATGTACATACAGCACAGATGTCTCTCATTCTGATTATTTCCTTTGTTATGCAGGGGCTTTTTAAGGTCAAACAATTCCATTTGTCAAATCTTGTAATCATTTCTTGTACTGGTGGAGTCCTTTTTGGAAATTCCTTGCTTATATCTTGAAGTGCTTTCTCTACATTTTCCTCTTGTCTTAACAGGTCTTCAGATCTCACAAGGTCTTTGATTCACTTTGAATTACTTTTTGTCCAGAGTGATGGAGGCAGAGTTCTCTGTGTCTCGGCAGCTGCTCCCAAATAACCACAAAGAGGCTTAATATTAATTATAAATGCTTGGTCAATAGCTCAGCCTTGTTACTAGCTCATAAATTTTAAATTAACATTTATTTATTTATTTATTTATTTATTTATTTATTTATTTATTGTTTTTCAAGACAGTGTTTCTCTGTATAGTTTTGGTGCCTGTCCTGGATCTTGCTCTGTAGATCAAGCTGGCCTTGAACTCACAGAGATCTGCCTGGCTCTGCCTCCCGAGTGCTAAGCTCCACCACTGCCTGACTCCATATTTCTTATCTACCCTCTACCACGTAGCGGTGCCTTCTTTCAGCACAGCATGTTCATCTCCTGCTTCCTGTGTGTCTCTCCTGTGACTCCTCTGACTTTGTCCTTTTTTTTCCCAGCATTCTCTCTGCTCTGAAAAATCCTGCTTAACTATCAGCCTATCAGCTTTTTATTAGCAATGAGAATGAGCAACACATTTCCACAATGTACAAAAGGATTATTCCACATCAGAGTGAGAAATAAGTATTTGGTTTATTATCTGTATGTCAAACCCAGCTTTCCCAGCACCATCAGTTGAAGAGACTTTCTTTTCTCTAATGCATATTTTTGGCACTAAAGTCAAGAATCATACGGCTATGGCTGCATGGGTTTATTTCTGGGTTCTCTGCTGTATTACATTGGTTTACACACAATACTTCCATCATTGCTTTCTGCTAATCAGGATCTTTTGTGCTTCCATATGAATTTTAGACTCTTTAAAAATTCTGTGAAAAATGACATTGAACTATAGATTGATTTTAGTAATATATCCATGTTCAAAATATTAATTCTGCAGATCCATGAGCATGAGGCATCTTCCCATGTTCTACCTTCTTCTTCAATTTCTTTAGTGCCTTAAACTTTTTACTGTAGCAGTCTTTCATTCCCTTTGCCAAGATTATGTGTGTGTGTTTCCTTGATTTTCCTGTTTTCTCAGCATGTTTCCTACTGATATGTAGAAAAGCTACAGAATTTTATGTTGATTTTGCTGTTCATCTTGAGAGAACTCAAGATTCACAGAACAGCAGGGTAGTGGTCTTAATCTCAGGGGGTCAGATTGCTAGACCCTTTTGCTTTTAATCTCTAGTCGGGGCGTCCAAGAATAGAATCTGAGAGGATTAGTGTAAAGTGACCTACAAAATCACCCATTACTGTGTTTTTATTGCTAGAAATAGTACCCAAGACCTTGTGCATACTAGCTGTCTAAGTTACTGCTCTGTTGCTGTGAGGAGACACCATGACCAAGGCAACTCTTACAAAAGAAAGCATTTAATTGAGGTCTTGCTTACAATTTCAGAAGATTAGGCCATTATCATGACAGGAAGCATGGCAGCAGACAACCAGGAATGAGGCTGAGTGTTTACATCCTGATCTACAGGTGAGGGAGTTAGGGGTTGGGGGAGGATAAAGATAGACACTGGACTTGACATGGACTTTTGAAAACTCAAAGCCCACCCCAGCGACATATTTCATCCAACAAGGCCACACCTCCCTAATCCTTCTCAAACAGTTCCAGTCCCTGGTGACTAAGTGTTCAAATATATAAGCCTATGGGAGCCTTTCTTATCTAAACCACAATACTAGGTGAAATTGTCCACTATAAAATAGTAAATCTGTGGTCTAGATTGGGGAGACTCCTGCCCTCTATGTTTGAGATCTGGATCCTGTACCAGTTTCAACAATGACAACCATAGAGCTGAGCAGTAGTCCCACCGCTACCATGTCCCCAGAGTAAAAGCTATTCTCTATTCAACAGCACCCTACTGAAGACAGGGATGGCACACCACATGCTAGCCTGTCTTTCCCTATCAAGACCCTCTGTTGTACTTGTCAAGATACAGACAAGAACACACAACAGCATTACTTCCCTAGGGAGATGTGAACAAGCATCTATTCACACTACAGACCACCATGTCTAGAACAGAAATGATCCACCCAAGTCCACCTTGGTAAACTAGTGAGTTCACTGGGTTACTAAGTATGCACGAGGTGTTACAGAGGCGTGGATAACCTTCAACAGTTGTATACTGAAAATCCAATCCTAGATGAGTGATAACCTCCTAAAAGCTGAATAAACAGTGTGAACTTTCACCCTTCTGCAGACTCTAGCATCTCTCAAGGCCACATGCATCAGGAACAGATAACATAAAATCAGTGTGGAGGAAAAAGGCATGCAGAGACTGTAATCTCAGGCCAAGGTCTAGTGACCCTCCTATCCTATCACATTCTCACACTGGGAATCACAGCTGCTCTGATGTGGCCATGTCATACCTAGAGGACATGATTCACAACACAGGCAGGTATGACCTTCAATTAGCTACTGATAAGGACAGACCTTTACCTGACAGCAGATAAAGGACCAGGACACTTGTAAATACACTCAGAAGGGCTCCAATGATAGCCTGGGGCAGCCCCAGCCCACTACCCCAAACTGCTCACTTGGGCTGCCTCTTGTCTTGTGTCTGCTTTCTACACCTTAACAGATATTTATAATGGTCGCTAAAAGTCTCCTTGGAGGGACTCTAAACCCATCACATGCTGCTTGGCCTCAGCAGCTTTCTGGAACCTTGCTGCAAGCATCCCTGACCCTTCACTTCTCTATCTTTTGTGCTTACAGAATGAGTACCATGTATATGATGCTGCAAAGTCCTGTTGCCAGATTGAGATGTTGCCTAGCACCCTTGGATGACAGTTAAGAGTTTGCAGTGGCCTCTGTATGGTCACCCTGGGAAAACCATTTCTTTATTTGGCTGTTTCTGAACAGGGGAACTCCTTCCGCACCGTTCTGACTCAGGTCAGGCTCTTCCTTTGAATGAACCTGTATTTTCACAAATACCAGCCTTTCATAGGTGGAGGCTTATCTTTAAAGATACCTTTTCTACTGTCTCTACATTCTCTTTAATGGTGCTAATTCCTCTAAAAATTAAGAATAGTGCTTTGCCGGCATTTTCTTTATCTGCAACTTGAAATTGCTCACAGTACATTCCCAACAAAGTTCACATTTTTCTTATCTTTCTGCTCTCTCATACTGCAGATCTGAATACATAAGCAATAGTCACATCAGAGCCTGATAGTGTACTGGCTGGAATCTCATAAGTGTTTTGAATTCGACTTCGTTCAAGTTCTCGTGGAATAAAATGCAGCCAAACTCTTTGACAGAATGTGTCATCAAAGGCATCCAGTCCAATTCCAGTGGAGTGCTTGTTTCCCTTTGGAAAGTGGAATGAGACTACCTGCATTTCTCTTAATGTTTTTGTCTTACAAGCTCCTACTAGAATGGTCCATTAAGCTCTGCTTACAGCATTTTAGGGATCCTTTGGCCTAAAGTTTCAAACTCTTGTATTCCTCTTGCAAACCATTTCTGAAGGCCTAAGAATTGCATGATCAGGTCTATCACAGAAAGCCCCTAACCTTGGTACCAATTTTCTGTGCTACTCTTCTCATTGCTGTGACAAAATACTCAGCAAAGAAAGTGAGGGGAGAATTTACTCTGGCTCACAGTTTGAGGGTACAGTTCCATTCAGGGAGTCATGAAAAATCAATGCAGAGAAGTCATTGTAGCAGGAAGTAGAGACTTGAACTCGGCTGCTCAGCTCCCTTCCATATTTTTATTTATTCACCCAGGGCCTTAGCCAATGGGATAATGTTGCCCTCATTCAGGAAGGGTTTTCCTCCTCAGTTAGACTTCTAAAAGCATCTTCACAGACATACCCAGGTAGTTCTTTCATGATGATTCAAATCCAGTCAGGTTGACAATGAAAATTAAACATTACACAATGAAAACACTTATCCCCAGACATCCAATACCTAAGAAATGGAAAAGATAATGTCTACAAAGACCCCAAAGGCAGGTCTGGGAATACAGCTCATACCACAAAACAAACAACAAAACCAAAAGCAACAGGAAAACACTTGCAATATGGCTGTGTCAATAAAGGATGCCTTTAAGTCTTTTCCCAGGATAATCACTGCCAAGGAGAGAGCACATACATAATCACATCACTCAGAGAAGTAAACGGCTTCAGCCTTGAAATGCACTTTCCCATTTCTGTATGTATTCTTTTTATTAGAGGGGCATAGTATGGTAATGGTAGGAAGCTGAAGAACATGTTTGTCCATGATTTCAAAAGAGAACAGTACGAAATAGCCATGACTGGATGCACAGAGTACAGGTACAGCACTGCTCACACCCACCCTGACAAGAGAAGGTGACCAAGTGTGAAGGAGGAAGTTTCTCAAAGAATCTGTGACGCTCTAGAAATAGTTTCACAGTGTTCTCCAAGGGTTTGCATTGACATTGGGCCCAGGTATGACAATGTGAATCCCAGTGGGAGGTTTAAGAGGTGGGAACAAGGAGAAGACCGTTACTGGTGCTTCCCCAAGCTCTGGCTTGTGCTGTGATTGATATCTTACATATGCATACACTACTTCCTCTGTGATCCTGCTCACCAAGACATGGCACAGACACAATCCAAGAGGCAAAGACAAAGACACACCCAGGATCCTAATTCAAACATGGTACTAGGCAATACTTCAGAGAGAGAGAGAGAGAGAGAGAGAGAGAGAGAGAGAGAGAGAGAGAGAGAGAGGCTGGTTCTGACCAACAAGCTGGTCTTGTCCCTCCCTCAAAACAGGCCCCAGCGGTATCCACTGTGTGATCTGTTGCTGTAAATGAACAAGCCCTTAACAACCACAGTTGGAAGGAGGAGGATGGCCGATGGGAACCCTGAGGCTAGAACTTCTTCCTTTAACCACCATTTGTTTCTCAGGAGACTGTGCCACTGAAGATCTGCAAGGGAAGAAAAAAGTCAGCAGTGGTCCAGTATGGGATCCTCAAATGAGTTCCTATCATCATCTGTAGGAAGAAAATGACCTAAAACATGAATCTGTGGCACGAAGGAGCACTATGCTGTCAAGTAAGCAATAATGTGATGGGGAGACCTGGCTCTAGGGAGAGGGCTCCTGATGTGAGGCCCAGAAGCCAATGCTCACCGTGGGAGGCACCCCTGTTCCAGGTCCTGGATGGTGTCCTTCAGCGTCTGGCCCCGTGTCTCAGGCAGCAGAGCACACAGTAGGCCTGCCCCGATCGGGAGGCTGCCAAAGATGAGCATGGGGAGTGCCCTGTGGTACTGTTCCAGCAGCATCACGAGCGGTGAGATGATGCCCCCAATCCTGGAGAAGATGCTCACCAACCCCATGCCTGTTTGCCTGGGGAAAGCAGCACAAGCCTTCGCTCTTACTTCCGTCCCACACTCTGGTCATGAGAAGGCCATGGCACGCCCATGTCTCTCTGTCCTCCAGTGTCCTGTGGCGACTTGGGGAGTTGCTCTAAACTTCCAGTGGCCTAGGCCCGTAGGCAGCTCACTGGCTGCCTGTGGCTGGTGGCAAAGGGCCAGAAGGATGGGTGATATTAGATTCCCCCGGGCAGAGAACCAAAGTCACCCCAGCAGTTCTCACCTGATGATGGTGGGAAAGAGCTCAGTAGTGTACACATAGGATATGGTGAAGGCAGCAGATGAGGCAAACTTCCCCACCACGGCTAACACAGTGACCACCGTGGGGAGACCTGGAGGAGAACGCAGGTCAGCCATACAGAGAGAAGGACACCATCACCTAAGCCTGCACACCTCCCTGTCTGCTCAAGTGCCTCACCCTCTACGCCCAAACCCTGGGGAAGCCTTGGTCCTGAAGGGGAGTGCGGCAATGCAGAGAGCCCTGGCAGGGAGGAAGACAGCCTCGTACCTGCTGGGATGAAGATGATGACGACGCACATGACGCCTGCCAGAGTCAGAGAACCTAACTGGCTCCACTTGCGACCCAGCTTCTCCATCATGAAGATGCTGGAATAGCGGGCAGGCAACTCCACTGCCCCAAATATCAGCTGTGTCAGGTAGATGTCAAGGCCAAAGTCCCCCACTTGGAAGCCGAGGCCATAGTACACCAGACTGTCCACAAACCTACAAAGTACCAAGTATCCCTGTCACTGCTGGGTGTACATCAAGTCATACCCAAAGGAACAGCCTGGCTCAAGGAGCTCACACCAGGGGAGAGACCACGATGCTCACAGAGCCTCTGTCCATCCCTCCAGTGACACACTGCAGAGCAGTCCTCTGGCTCTGTCCTCACTGAGGGACAAGGCCCTGGGCACTTACCAGACAGCAATGAGAATCAGGGTCACCTTCCTGAGACGGGGGTGTCTGAAGAGATCCAGGGCATTCCCCGAGGGGCCTGTCTTCTCAGGGACCAGCTAGAAGAAGGGCACAATGAGGGGCCGGGACACAGGCATAGAGACTGGCTTGAGGCAGGGGTGAGCCTGCGCCTGCTAACAGGTACCTGGCTCAGGAGCTCTGGAGAAAGTGGCCGCCTGTTCACTGAAGCTGCCTTCTGGACCAGCTGTTTGGCCTCCTCTATCTTTCCTTGGGAGAGGAGCCACCGTGGAGATTCTGGCAAAACCCTGTCAACCACACATGATTCTGATACTGAGGTTGATGCCTGTGCAGCTGCCCAGAATTCCAGGGCACACTGAGTCTCCCACCCAAGCTCCACAGGCCCCTCCTCTGCACCCTACCACAGCACTCCCAACAGAGGGTGGCCTATCACTGCCAAGGGTCTCCCTACCAGAAGTAGAAGACAAGCAAGAAGACTGGTGTGGTGCCTATTAGCTGAAGGAGTCTCCAGTTGCGGACACCATAGGCCAGGCCTGCTAGCACCATCAATCCAATGGCAAAGTTGCTCTGGGCCAGGACCATGGCTTTTGTTCTCCAGGACGGCCCCACCCATTCTGAAACTGTGAAGACAAGGCTGAGACTGGGGCGGAATCTGCCCACTCACTCTCCATGATATCCAGATGGTATCATGCTAAGCACTGTGTACATTCCCAGCAGAGGAAGCTCTGCTATGACCTCCTAGCGTACAAATGACTGAAACTATCCCCACAGGCTGTTCAGGAGCTCTGAAGAGCTCAGATTTCAGACTGTACCTGAAGGCTCCAGGGCCCAGATACTCACCAAAGATCATGGTGCTCATCATATATCCAGCGACAGCAGTAGCCGAGATAAAGCACAGAACCATGTAGAGCTCAAAGCTGGGCACGAAGGCTGTGGCCACGCCTATGAGGCCTGACAAAAACAGCTGCAGCAGAATGCTGGCTCTTCGGCCAATCCTGAGTTAACAGAGGGACATGTTGTGAAGTGAGGAGGCCTTCCCAGGCAGGCCTGTCCTCGGCTCTCTGTCAGAGTGAGGAGACAGGGTCTTCCATGGAGCCCCATTTGAAGGCAGGCATGAGGACTTATCTTGATGACTAACAAAACTTCAGGGAATAACTGAGTCAGCAGCAGGAGCCTAAAGCATGCTGGGTCAGTGGCACATACCAGTCACAGACGGGCCCAAAGACAAGGGCCCCAACGAGGAGTCCAGCCATGAACACTGACTGTGAAGTCCTCTTCAGGTTCTTCCGATCACACACCAGGTCAAACTGAAATGGAAATAGGGAATGTAAGACTTGGCATAGCAGCCAGGATCAACTTTATCATCTAAACCCCATGGCTCCCACACTGTGAGCCAAGGCTACCCTCAGCACCATAGTGAGTTATTGAGCACAGAGTATTTAAAATGTTATGAAATATCATATAATTGTTGACTTCTGACTGACATCATACAACTGTTTCCCATAGGCAGGCAGGCATGTATAGAACTAGGTAGAGGTTGAAAAGCAGGAAAGCACCATGGGCAAGCAATGAGGCAGGTGAATAAACGTGGACGGAGGCAGGGTAAGTCAGGACAGGAAGGGAGGCCATCAGACAGATCTTATAAAATGGACAGAGAGAACAGCAGGTAGGGAGAAGAATAAAGGCAGGCAGATGGACAGACAGAGAGACAAGTCAAAAGACAGGGACAAGAGGGCATGCAGAAATGAACAGAAACTCAGGCAGCAGAGCACACAGAGAAAGTAAGTGGCACATGCAATCAACTGGCATACAGAGCTCAAGGTTGGGCACAGGATATAGCTGGCCTGTTGATGCCCACCAGGGGCAGTGGACCAGGATGACTGGCAAAGGAGGCAATAAGCATAAACCCAAACAGGCATCAGGACAGATACAAAACAGCAAGTATCAACCAAAGGCACAGGGCCAGAGGAACAGACAGGCCTGTGACAGCCTGAGAACAGGCAGTCCTACCTCATTCTTCAGGGACTGAGGCCTGTTCTCAGGATAGTCCCAGCCTGAGTCACAGGCCTGGGTCTCATTGAAGCGGTGGCTGAGGATGTCTTGCAGGCTGGCGTTGTCAGGAGGGGGCCGGAACATGAGGCAGGACTCAGGCCTGCCTGCCGTGTCGTTGGGGATGCTGACTGCCAGCTGCTCAGCAGCACTTAGGTTGAAAGTGTGGTTCTTGACCCAGGACACTGAACAGTGGTGAGCCTCATCAAGGACCATGAAGATCTGACTAAACACGAAGAATGCAGACAGGAAGTTGGGGATGCCCATCAGGATGGTCACCTGTACCTGGAAGCGACCAAAGTCGCCCACTTCAGCCATGACCTGTGCAAAGTGAGCCATGTCTGCTGCTCACTCCTTAGTCTAGGAACACCAGGCAGGTCTGAAACTTGGCTTTGGGGCGCTTGCTGCTCTGGGCTGTGGTGACAGCTGAGTTAATGTTTAACCAGCTTTGAGAAGCTACACCTGTCAGCTTATACCTTATCTCCCTAGACCGACAAGAATGAACCTGAGAGAAACAAAAACAAAAACAAAACCACACTCATCTGAGAATGCTTTATTGGCTGTGACAGATACAGCATCACAACAGTACGGAAGAACACCTTTCCAGGCCAAAATCTCCAACAAGATGTAGTTGTCATCCTCACTGGCTCCAACTATAACATCTTCAACAGTTCCCAGTCTTATGCCTTCCCACCACTAAAAACTCAGATTCTGAGCATGTCTGCAACCTCACCAGAAGTGGGGATATGACAGGTACACGGTAAAAGTCCTTTATCAATGGTTTTACCCAGCATTCATCCCCACATGCTACAATGCCAGGCAAAATGTACCTCCTGGTGCAATTGTGGCAAGACTGTCATAGGCTATCCCAACGGTTCTCAGCTGGATTTGAGGCCTGCTCTACAGAAGGAAATTTATGCCTGGGTCTGTGAACATGATCAAATTCCCTGGCTACTAAAGTCTTAAGCCCTGGGAAATAATCTCTGAGTTTTGTTTTGTTAAATAGCTATAATGTAAAACTGTCTCCTAAGTACTTTTGTTTTTATATTCATGTATGTGTGATGCTCTCAGTCTCGATCAAAGAAGCTTCTTGTTGTAGGGGGTAGTGGTTAATTTTGAGACTTCTTAACTATTCACTGTGAGTTCTCAACCAGAGGGAACATCTGTGTCTACCTCCACATGAGGCTCACAGGACAACACAGAAGAAAGGGCGGGGAGAATCTCCGAGCTGCAGGCTGGGGTGGAGTGGTGCGGGATGCTGACCATCAGATATGACAGGGCTGTTGCACACATCAGCTCCTTCAGCTGTAGTTAGTTACCTGCACAGGACCTATGCAAGATCAAGCCAGTTAGAAATGCTAGCATTTAAGAAATGGAAACTACCAAAGTGTCCATAAAGGAAATGTGGCACATATATACAACAGAATATTATTCACCATAAAACAATGAAATCCTGTTCTTTGTGATAACATACTTCAAACTGGAGATCATTACAGTAACTGAACACAGCCAAGCATACAAAGACCAACACCACATGATCTCAAACGTGAAATCTTTAAAATCTTTATCTCACACAAGATAAGAGTAGCATTAGGGTTACCAGAGTCCCTGGGGGCACAGGGAGGGAAGGGGTGAGAAAAGGTTGGTCAATGCCTAGTAAGTAGGCGAAGTTCTGGTGTGTTCCTGCTTCTCCCCACACTCCTTCTTCACCTCAGCTGAGGTGCTAATGGCAGTTGATGGCTGCTGCTGAAGAAAGAGACATCCTTTGAAGGAAAGGCCATTGATAGGTTGACCATGCTCCTTTAGATCCATGCACATATGAACTCCTATGTCTAATAACTGTATTCAGTCGATTATTCACTGTTTTTTAAACAAGAGGCCAGAGAGATGGCTCAATGGTTAAGAGCACTTCTTATTCTTGCAGAGGACTTAGATTTGGTTCCCAGCACCCACATGGCAGTTCACAACCATCTGTAACTGCAGTTTCAGGGTATCAAATGTCCTCTCTGATCTCCATGGGCATCAGGCATGCACATGATGCACATAATACATACATTCAGGCAAAAGACTCATGCACATAAACATAAACACATCTTTTAAAACTTTAAAAACAACAAAATGAAGACAAAGTTGGGAAGGATGTAGTTGGATCTTTTTGTCAAGACCGCCAGCTCCCCAATGACACAGAGACTTATTAATTATAAAAGTTTGGCTGATAGCTTAGGCTTGTAACTAACTAGCTCTTACAACTTAAATTAACCAATTTTTATCAATCTACTTTTTATTTCATGACTTTATTACCTTTACTCTGTACTGTCCATGCTGCTTCCTCTTGGTCTGGCTGTGACTCCCCTCTTCTTCTTCCCAGTGTCCCGTGTGCCTGAAAATCCTACCTAGCAATTGGCCATTCAGCTTTTTATTAAACCAATCAGAATGGCACATCTTCACAGTGTACAAAAAGATTATTCCACAACAGAAGATGTGTTAGGGAGAAGTGGAAAATAGGGAGTAGAGGTGGATATGACTAAGATATACACATATGAAACCGGGAGAAGATGGGTGTGACTAAGATATACATGTAGGAAGTAGGAAGTGGAAGGTGGGTGTGACTAAGATATACACATATGAAACAGGGAGAAGATGGGTGTGACTAAGATATACATGTATGAAATAGGGAGTAGAAGGTGGACATGACTAAGATAAACATGTATGAAATTTTCAAAGAAAAGTACAACCCAGCCTGCATTAATTCTGCCACGAGACCATTCTTGGCTGTGGCCTTGATAGTCTTCTGCTGTGTAAATCTTCTGATGTTATTTTTTCTGTTGCTGTGTAATACTAGCTAATCCCAGAGCAGCATGAAGGTCAGGAGACACACAAAAAGACCCTTTCTTTTTAGGACCAAAGACAAATCAAGAAAGCAAGAGTGAATATAGGAAAGGTGTGTGTTGCATTTTCAGTTCTAATTAAGGGAGAAACTGATAGTGCTTTTACTAGATTAAAAACAAATACAAGTACTCCCAGTGTATCCCAACCCCCCAAAGCAATCAATGATAACAAGAGCACAGGACAAAGTCTCCCTCTACAATTCCTCTTGCACATGTACATAAGCATTCTTCAGTGATGTGACTGCCCTCGTCCCTGACCAGTTCAAGTAAGTGGCAAAGTCAAATATGGTGCATAAAAAGCACTTTTATGCCTTCTCACTACTCCCCCATTGTACCCTCTCCCACCAACGAGTTGGAGTATTCTTATTCAGAACATTTATGTAAATAAGTGGATCCAACACACAGTGAGAAGAAAAAGCCCTTCTTCACGGTAGAATCCCAGTTTAAAAATGTGAAGTCATCACAAAAAAAAAAAAAAAAATGTGGAGTCAACCAGCGGTGGTGGCACACACTTCCCCCAGGAGGCAGAGGCAGGCGGATCTCTGTGAGTTTGAGGCCAGACTGGTCTACAGTGTGAGTTCTAGGACAGCCAGGGCTGTTACACCGAGAAACCTTGTCTCAAAAAGGAAAAAAAAAAGTGAAGCCAACAATGATAGGAAACAACCATTTGGAAAACATGAAATAACATTTGTTAGGAAAGAATCAGCCAGGAAAGATGGACAGAGTATAAAGTATTCATAACGTCACAAACTTTATCTCCCCACAAATATTAACTACAAAGAGAAAAGCAGTAACTTTACAGTGGAGAACTGTAGTGGGCACTTTTGAAGCACAGGATCAGTCAACATAACCAGCAAAGATGTATTTACATTATGTTCTCCAGGGTCTCACAGTGAGAAGAGCTGGATATTAGCTTGATATTAGTCAACAGTATCCTATCAAGGCTAATGTCCTGATCTTGATAGATGTATATAATTATGTGAGACATTTACATTTAGAGAAGCCATAAAGCAAATACAGGTGAATCTTTGGTACTGTTTATTTACAAATATGTCTGTAAGTCTGAGCTTACTTCAAAATAATACCTGAATAGCCATGTCTCCAGAACATACACAAAGCAAGTTGACATACATGAGGATGTTCAACAGCACATTCATTAGGAAACTCAAATTAAGGAACTACTGTACACCTAACAGAACAGCCACATTCAAAATACTAACATCACCAGAGCATGCCAAGAGTATAGAGCAACAGGAATGCAATAGTACAGCTATTTTGAACATGGTTTGTAGCTAGAGTTTTCCTGCCTGGCCCACGGTCAGGGCAAATCTCTCTCACCTGCCAGTCCCACAGCCTCTCAGACCCGACCAAGTAAACACAGAGACTTATATTGGTTACAAACTGTGTGGCCGTGGCAGGCTTCTTGCTAACTGTTCTTATAGCTTAAATTAATCCATTTCCATTAATCTATACCTTGCCACATGGCTCATGGCTTACCGGCATCTTCACATGCTGTTTCTCATCATGGCGGCTGGCAGTGTCTCTCTGACTCAGCCTTCCACTTCCCAGCTTTATTCTCCTCCTTGTCCCGCCTATACTTCCTGCCTAGCCAATGGCCAATCAGTGTTTTATTTATTGACCAATCAGAGCAACACATTTGCCATACAGAACATCCCACAGCAATGGTTGAGCAATTTACTTACAAAATTAAACATACTCTTACCTTAAGACCCAGCAATTATGCTCATTGCTCATCTGTCTAATGAGTTGAAAGCACATGACCACACAAAACCCTGCACAAAGATGATTTCAGGAGCTTTGTTCTTAACTGTCCAAACTTGGAAGCACAAATGATGTCCTTCAGTGGGTGGGTGATAAGCTGTGGTAGACACTGGAATTAAGTGCTAAAAAAACAGAAGTTATTAATTATTAAAAGACATGAAAGAATTTTAGATGAACACCAAAGAAGCTGATCTGAAAAGACTACACACTGAGGGATGCTAACTATACAAAGAACAATGGGTCGTGTGGGATGAAAATCAACGGAAGAGTGCTTGTCCAACATGCATAAGGTCCTAGGTTCAACCCCTTCATTAGTGGCAGGAAAAGAACAAAAATAATCCATCACCAACAAAAAACATTCGTTCCCAAGGGTCAGTGGGGGAAGAGATGAACAGGGCAGGCAGAACTGAGTATTTATAGGGCCAAGAGATTATATATAAAGGTGGCTATATCGCTATACATGTCAAAACCATAGACCACACAACAGCAAGAATAAATCTTACTGTAAATTATGGGTTTAGGGTGATAATGCACAGATGGAGTTTATTAACTGTATCAAAAGCATTATGCCAATGTGGAGCCTAAGAGGCAGAGAAAGGTTGTTTAAGTGTAGGGAATACGTTCTACTTGATTTTGCTGTGAAACTCTACTATCCTAAAAATTGAAGTCTACTTTAAAAACTAACATGGGATAATGACCTGACCCAAAGGACAAAGTAAAACTAAGTGTCCATGCTGGGACACTCCCATCTATTAGAACAGGTCCTGACCTAACCACTTGCACACAGCATGGTCACATCTGAGAACCTGGCCCAGACTCTGTGTACAACACTCACAGTTTGCTTCTTTAACTTGCTCATCTTGAAAGTGAGCTTTCATCAGTTTCCAGCTCCACAGCACTCTCAAAGAAACGCCAGTCCTGCCATAGATTCTGGCTACTTCCATCAGGAAGGATCATGATCAGAAAGGTAGATTATGATCACAAAGCCACACCATTTCAGTAGCTAAGCACCGTAGGGACCAGTTCAGCACTGCTCTTCACTTTCTGAAAGGAATCCCAATGGCTAGAATCTAGTATCCTTCCCTGTCTAAAACCAGAAGCAGAATCAAAGATTCAGAACAAAATCAAGACATATGGAGATGGTTCATAACGTCTCATGTCCAGTTCCTCAGGTGCTCTTCATTCTTCCCATTGGGGCATGTGTTTCCCCAACTTGAGCACAGCAGTGTGAAGCTGTTCTACTAAGAAATTTGCACGTCAGTAAGCTCATTTTACTGTTTATACACATCGTCTTCATGCTGGTCACATGAAAATTAAAAGTAGTGATTTCATCTGTAGTAGTCCTACTCCCCAGAGCGCTTTATCAACAGCCATAAAAAAAAGCATCCATACATCACTACAGACAATTTATTCTTTATTGATTAAAAATGAAGAAGAAAACATGCAGTAAAATACAAAGTCAAGAGAAGAGGGGGAAGGTAATATTTTACATCTCCCATCATCTAGCATATGTCGTAAGGAGGAACTTACATTTACTGGTACATCATTATCCCATCCTCCAGATTATTGAACAGTCTCAGCTGGCTCTAAGATTTGGTTCAAAAAAAGAAAATAAAAAACCAAAAACAATCCCTTTAATTGTTTAGAAAGACCACACATTTCACAAATAGCATTGGCACATATTATCTTGTGCTATAGTTCTCCTCCAGGGACAAGGGTATCTTGAGGACCTAGTGACAGAGGTCCACCCTGAAGCACTGCTCCCAGGAAGGAGAGAAATGAGCTCCCGGGGTTCCACGTTGTCCCGCCTGGGCAGTTTCCATTGACTGGTATCTCACATCACTGTGTAAGCCAGCAGAGGGATTCACCACACATCATGCAGAACAAGTAACACTGTCCTGGGTCTTGGTGCCTACCTTCTAATTCCCAGAAAAGCAAATGATAAACTGAAAAAGAAAGTCCAGGCCACTTTTACTGTCATGCCTGTCCCCCACACCAGGGAAAAGGTGAAGATGGTCTGGAGAACGTGAACAGGAGAGAGGCTGCCTGCTGCATATTTCCAGCCCGGCACTGGACCACCTCAAGTCAAAAACTACAACAGAGTGATGTTACACATTCTTTCTTGAGGTCTTAAGTGAATTAAGACAGGCTGTCGAAAGCAAAACAGATTCTATAGCAAGCCACTAGTCTTGTGCCAAAGATGACATGCCTGTTTTCTGTACCTCAATCCCACCTCCCTGTTCTTGCTTCCTCATAGCCCTATCTCTCTATTAAGATTAAGACAGACAGACAGGGAGACAGGGAGACAGGGAGGGAGGGAGGGAGGGAGGGAGGGAGGGAGGGAGGGAGGGAGGGAGGGAGACAGGGGGGGAGGGTGAATGTTTTTCTAGCTAGCTGGTCAATCTTTGTTTTCCCTCCTGGCTCAGCAGGTTCCTCCTTTCACCAATCCTGCTGGGACCTTGGACTCTGGTATCTAATCTACTCGCCTCCGAACTCCCTTCTCAGGCCCATCTTCTCTTCCTTTCCAGCATCCCTTTCCCAACATGCCTTTGCACTCCTAACAGGTGAAGAAAGTCCATGACAAACTGCAGGCTCAGAATGGCACAGGAGGTGACACAATCAGGACAGGGAAGCTCTTGGGTGTGTCCCAAGAGGAAACTCCAGAGCTGCCTGCATGAGCAATACTGTGGTTTGATCCTCAGAACTATGTGGGGCCGGGCTGAGGGTGGGAACACATTAGGTACCAATTCTTGTTCATCAGAACAACAATGGCAGGTCCAAGGAACTCTATAAAAGGCAACTAACTAGTCCCTTTCTAGGGGCCCACAGCCCATCTTTGTATGTCTCTTTAAGGCCAGACTGACTATTCCATTCTTATATAAAATTTGGTAACTTGGTAGGCTTATTAGCAATCAGACAAATGCTATTAAAGAGTAGGAAAAAAGAAAAACCAACCCCACTGATTATTCACATATTGCATTGAGTGCTCTTTTTTAAACCTAAAGAATAATTTACATAATTTCTGTAGAAAATCAAATTAACACTGTCTACTCATAAAACCTAAAGGTCACGGCACGTGTGGTTTCATGTTCCATCTTGGGTCAGGTTCAGTGAATGAAGACCCCTCCGAGGAGTCAGTGCAGGAGAGGAGCAGAAGGCAAGCCTCTGGCCCAGGCCAGTCTCCTTTATTGCTGTCAAAGTCTCAGCCGTGCACACCACTTCCTCATGATGTAGAGGCCAGGCAAATCCATCTTCACAGGAGGATCAAGGGTCAGTTTTTCTTCAGTTTAAATTTTTAAAATTGAAAATGCTTTCCCAATGATATGACTTACGAGTTCCTTTTCTTGCTCAAAAACTACCTCTGGCAAGATAAGAGTTATAAGCCATTACTTGATGTTCTCTGCAAAAACCACCCAAAGTTCCACTCCAAAGGAGCAGATGGCTGAAGTCTGACTACTGTCAGATGTTTTGCACCAGCTGAAGTTAAGGCTAGCAACCCTTTCTGGAGGGAGTAATGAAGGGGGTGCCTGAGAACAGCTTCAGCAAAACATGTAGAGACACCAGGAACAGCACAGACAAGAGTTTAGGCTGCCTCCATCCGAGGCTGTGCTTTTTCCTAACAAAGGTTGCTAGAATTAGCATCAGGTACAAAGAAAAAACACTAATTAAATTCTCTGGGCTCCAGCTGAACAATCAATTTTTAATTGCTACTTCAATGTTAAAGAGATATCCCAAGATGCTCAGATCCCGGCAGGTGTGGGAGAACCGGCAAGATGAGGATGCCCAATGCAGCTGCTACTATCCACTTGGGCCATCGCTGTAGTAAGGCAAGAATGAGCTAAGAGATTTCCACCCTGGGCCTTGAGGCACGCTGGCTGCTTCTCAGATGGAGGAAGAGAGGGGACATGAGCAGCATATCTACTAACGGAACTCTCTGAGGGGATGCTGGCCGCTGGGAATCCAACTTTTCTCTCCTTGTGGGAAAAGGGATGGGGAGATGGCAAGAACAACACAAATAAAGAACTCTAAAGCTCCAAGCCGGGAAGTTTGTTGCTGGGTTCTTTGGCAGTTGTAGGTTCAGGCCAACAGAAGCAACAGATAGGCATGTGTGGCACCTCCTTAGGCTGACTCTTCCAGGACTGTGGTTTAGCTGATGCTGAGCTGGGCAAATCCTATTAGTTTGCCATCATCGGGAATATCGGAACCTTCAACACCAGATGCCTAAGAATCAAACAAAATGACAAGGTGTGACAATTTATAAATAAACTTTTAGGTAGCAATAACATTGGTTAAGGACTGCAGAAAGGAAGGTAGTAAGTGAAAGGTCCCTGGGATATAAATAGAAGACTACTTCGTTTCTTCCAGAAATGATGGGGGCTGTTCCTACAACTAGGGTCAAATAGCTTCATAATTTTTCTTGAGAGAAGTCAGAAGTCTGGGATACAGGCTTCTGGGAGGGAGAGAAGAAGTGAAGTCACTCAAGGTGAGAGTTTAGCCAGGGGTCTTAGGAAGAGTAAATGGACAGCGCTCAGCATGTTCTAACAGTCTTGGCATTCAGGAATAGAAGGGCTAGTCTGCAGATGGGTAAGAGGGGTGAGTACCAGTTTGAAAGTGACAGATCGGTTTGATTGAGGTTCTTCCACAATTTTCTGCAGATTAGCTGCCACTGTAATCATACAAAGAAAATTAATGAGCAGCTACATAAACACACTTTTAATATTTTAAAAATCTTAAAATGGTGGTTAAGAATCTTTAATGTACAATCAAAATGGAGGAAAAAGGCCAGTCATTTTCCAAATCAAAGTTATTGCTGATCTCCAGACTGAATAAATAAATCCTGAATCATTATTAAATTAACAATATTTAAAATGTATTAGCTTTTTTAGACAGTTTATTAAAAGATATGCCTTATGTTAATAGACTAGAAAGCCTGTAACTAGGAGCCAACCTAGTTATAGTATATAGCCTGTGATCTATTTTTGTTCTACCTGTAAATCAGAAGGATTTTCAAATGACATACTACAAAACTCTAGTACTGTGGAGGCTGAGACAGGAAAAGGATACTAAGTTCCAGATCTGCCCAGGTTACACAGCAAGACACTGTACTCCAAAAAACAATGAAAAAAGACAGACCATACAAGGCCCACAAAGCCTAAACTATCCATTAGTTCTTATTTCAGAGGAAAGTATTGCCAGCCCAACTGTATTAGCAACTGTGGCCTGTCTTTACTTTGGTTTTTCTAGGATTCAGTCTCTGTCCTCCTCACTTCTGTGTTCTACAAAGATTAGTTATACCAATAGATCAGAAACGGAAGAGCCATTAACTTACTAACTTGTGACTTTTCCTATCTCTTCTACAGCATCCGAGAGACATCTACTACTGTCAAGGGTCTAAGGTAGGACAGGTTTTTGCTTTTTTGCTCTGATAAGAAACTGTCCTTGATACTGTAATTTTAGTGAAGTGAAGACTACTTCAAGAAGCAACGGAGATGCTCACTGGAAGCTGGGTTTCTAGGTACCATGTATACCAGATGACAAGAAAGTAACATGCTCACCTATTACTAAGTCCCTTCCATCCACCAGGCCAGCAGAAATGAGCTCCTGAGAGACCCCCTCTGCTGTGTCTGCAAGGACAAAGAACACGGCGCTCAATTTCTTGTGTGCACATGTCACTGCGGCTCTCCTGGTCAACACAGGTATCAACACCGCCACAATCAGCCAGCTACTAAATCCACAGAATAAAGAGGCAGGTGGGGTTGTCCTAGACTCAAGTGAGAATTCTCACAGATCTGGCAAGGGAGCAGACTCTATATGAACTATAAGGCAAATATCAACTCAAAGTAAGAGATAAGTTTCTAAACTGTGTAATGTTCACAGCCATACCAGAAGAGTGCCCCACAGTGATAACGAGATATTCCATTGTTAAATATAACTTTGCACTTGAGCTCTCTGAGTTTTGAGACATGAAATTCAGTGCCAGTGATATGGAAATTTATTCTCAAAACTTAAGAAAATACTTTAGAATCTTTTCTGAGAATCATAAAAGCTTACTAAAATTATTATCATTATTCTGGCAGTTTGTTTTCTTACTTACTCATGCTAGGCAATACAATGTAAGTGATGGATCTAACCAGAAACCAAATATATGAAGCAAACTATCTCAATCTAATTGCATCTTTAGGCTGGGCATGCTGTCATGAACCTTTAATCACAGCACCCTGGAGGCAGACCTCTATGAGTTCAGGGCCAGTCAACACCACACAATGAGGCCCTGTCTCAAATAAGCAAACAAACCAACCAATTTCATCTTTAACTGATGAGGTATTGAAGGAACAAGAGAACCAATGCAGAGGTAGTGTGTACACATTCATACAAAAGACTAGCAGTTAAAATTTCTGGACATATTCCTAAAAAGTAATACGCACCCCTGTGTATTTACACTCATTCTCAAGAGAAGTAAAATTGTCTGTGGAACTCAGCACCAGACATTTGCTGGCCACTCCTCAACTCAGAAGCCTGAGTTAACAATGACGAGAAAGAGAAGCCTTGCTACAGGGTGAAGTTCACAATTAGAAACAGCACTGTGACAAGGCTCAGCTTCCACACGAGGAGAAAGGAAGCCTGCACTGTGTCTCTAGCTTACTATCAGAGAGAAGCGGTATGTGCCATGATGAGAACGAGGACTCTGGCCTCTGAAAGAACTTCAACTGAACTTCAGTGCCTCTTTCTAGCTTATGAACAAGTTCTTCTGCCTTCCTTTAACCCTGGAGTTCATCCTCTATGAAATGGGAATCATTTTTCCTTGGGTAGCTGTTTTAAGAACTGAATGGGATAATGTTTAGGGAAATGCATGACCAATTTACTAATGGGCTTGTGTTCATTACTATACATCTTATTACAGTCAGGTTTCCAGGTAAAAGAACTAGTAAATCCATAGTTTTTCTTCATACATATTTTCCAAAACCTAAACCAGAAAGTTTACCATCACTTAAAAGCAAAACTTTATCTAAATGACAAAAAATTTACACCTAAGTAGCAAATTATTAGTCATTGTGTTTTTTTACCATTTTTTTTTGACAATACTTTTTAATACTCACCTCTCCCAGGAGTAAATTCAAATCGAATATCATTTAGTTCTTTTTTGGAATTCCTATGAAAGAAAACAGAAAATAAGAATTTCTGGATTTATGCAGAATTTATTATAGTCTGCCTATATATGTGTGTGTGTGTGTGTGTGTGTGTGTGTGTGTGTGTGTGTGTTTGTGTGTGTGTGTGTGTGTGTGTGTGTATGTGTATGTGTATATATGTATGTATTGTGAGAGTCAAAGTTACATTTTAAGTTTTAATTACTATGACTAAGAGATCCATGAAACAAAAAATGTCTCTGATCTGCAGGCCCCTTGCCCAAGGACAGATAGTTCCTGAAATGCTGGAGGCTATTGTTTATGGGAGCTAACAAGCCACATGTTTTCACTCCCCTAAATAAGTTTGACCCATCTCCACTGGATGTCCTTGATCACATGAAGGCAGGAGGTACGTGGGCAGGAAATATGTCAGGATGTAACCATGCCCCTAACTGGATATAACTGGGAGATATGACGGCAGGAAGTATGTTAGTATGTATACTTGCACGTGATTGGACCTCATGGGAAATGCAGTGAATTATGGGTTTTGCCTTTTTAACCCCCTGCAAAACGTGACTTGGGGCCATTTTCTGGGAAACCAGAGATGGACCTGGCCAGACAGTCCATCAACCTGGCCAGTATTTAATTAAAGCTTGCTTCAAAACTTGACTCTAAACTGTGGTAGTGGTCTTATTCTCAACCAGTGGGATTAGCAGTGTATGTCTATATATGCATGCATATATATGTATGGATATATGTGTTTATATGTGAATGTGCATGCATATATGAAGAGATTATTCTGTTCCCACAGATCATATACTTTGTCCTGATGTGCTCACTCTATAGGGCTCTGAGCTAACACTTTCAGCACTATCATCAAATTACCTTTGAGTTTATTACTCCACCTACTGATGAAGACAAGAATCTTTTATCGAGGATACTCATGCCCATTCCCACCCTTATTCCCACTAAGATAATGCTATGATCAGAGTTACTGTGTTGGAAAGGTGATTCCTAATGCAGCTCTGAGAGGTTACAGGCTAATTCAGTGAGTGGGTCTGTTATGTGAACCATGTCTCCTGTTTCCCTGTGAGCTCTTGCCTTCTCTGCCACAGGATAAAGCTCTGGGCTTCTGGTCTCCACTGTAAGAAATAAATCTCTGGATTTTGTTGTTGCTGTTAAGACAAGATCTTACTCTCTAGCTGGGGTTGACTCAGACTCTCAGCAATTCTCCTGCCTCAGTTTCCCAAGGGCTGGGATTATAGGTGTGAGTCACACTTGCCTAAACCTCTATTATTTATAAATTACTCAATCTGTGGTATTCTGTTTTGGCAACAAAAAATGAACTAGGACATATAGTAAAATAAACCTAAGAGAAAGACCTGTGTAAACACAGGAAGGAGCGATTCAAATGACAGAGGCCCCTTTTCATCCTTATTCCCACTGGTCCACTAGGACAGACTCACAAAACTAAGTGCACGTTATTCCTTCAAATTTCTAACAATCTAGAACACATGAGATTTGGATGGAGAAGAAAGCTTTAGAGGTTTTTGTTTATTTATGTCTTTTATGTGATAAGTGTTTTGCCTGTATCTATGTCTGTCCACCATGTGCATTCCTGGTGACCTCAGAGCCTAGAAGAGGGTGTCAGATATCTTGGGCCTGGAGTTAAAGATGGTTGTGAGCCTTATCTGGGTGCTAGGAACCAAACCCAGGACCTCTGCAAAAGCAGCCAGTGCTCTTAACCATTGAACCATCTCTTTCAGCCCCCAAAATAGTTGGTTTTTTCATAGTTGTTTTGTTTTGGGGGGACAGGGTTTCTCTATGTAACAGTCCTGGCTATCCTGGAACTCCCTCTGTAGACCAGGCTGACCTCGAACTCACAGAGATCCACCTGCCTCTGCCTCCCAAGTGCTGGGATTAAAGGTGTGCGTCACCATTGCTCAGCCCAAAGATAGTTTTTAAATAGGACTTAAGATGGCCAGGGTTTGAACAGGCAGAGAGGGCAAGAAAAGGAATGGGGACCATACTGGAAGCAGTTAATATAATGACTCCAGAAACTCACATCTGACTGGTGAGGTACAGCTTGAATATTCTATGTGCTGAGACTTGAAACTACCCAGGCTCCCTGAAAGTTCTAGTTAAGGCAGAGAAATTAGAACATAATCTCTAACAGTACACATGACATATCTCTGTTAGAAACACACACAATCCTATGTAGTTACTCTTACTCCCAACTATTACAACATCTACAGAGTACTCATAAAGCAGCAAGTGCCCACGTACCTTAATCTCAACACTAGACTGATAGGGACCTTGGTCTCCTGGGAGCGGTCTCCTGCAGACTGAGCCTGAAACGCATTGACAGTAGAAAGTCACTGACCAGTCATCTATGAAAGACACTTGGCAGCAGTTTCTTTTCTCTCCAGCCCAAGTCCTTCTGGTCGCTAAGATGTCCCCTGCTGTGGCAGGATGCCAACTCCAAAGGAGCAACAAAAGGCAGCTGTCAGCCATGTCAAATACAATCAGAACATTAATTCCCAAGGAAAGGCCTAAACTAGCTGTCTCCCAGGGCTCTATTCAACCAAGTGCCAGGATTTTTTGTGGCTAGAGTAAATCTTTCTGAAACTGTAAAGTTACCCTTTGCGTGCTGAAGGACATACACTCTGTCTATGAAATAAATCCAATCTTTCTATTAATTCTTCTAAGACACCTGCATTTTTTCCCCATGTGATAGATGAAGGAAGGGCCAAATGAAGTCACCACTAGGACTACCTGGAAGTTCTCAGAGCAGTGGTCTCCAGAGACTGAACAGGAGATGATGATATATTAAAGTACAAAAGGAAACTTCAGAACTTCCATGTCTTTTCCACAATATAGAGCATCAGAGTCTCCAAAATGGAGCCAGAGTTATATAGCATGCAGGGATTCACAGTGAAGCTGTTATCACCCAGACACTACCACCACACTGCAATTTCATGACAACTGTGTGCGCTTAATTAAATTTTGCCAAGCTTTCACAAAACCAACTCTCACAAAATGAACAAATATCTTAAATAGAGTAATTCTGAAAACATAAGAGCCTGAAAAAGAAGTATTAATGTGTGTAAGTGAGCAAAAAGGAAAGGCAGCTAATTTTCCAGCCTCAGAATTAACTCTATTGACTGGACTTAGTCTCATTAAATTTAATAAAGATCTAATGAAGAGCTGACAATATATTAGCCAAATTGTTTGCACTTGGTATGTTTTCATAATTAACTTATTTTGTTGCTTAAAAACCTGTGTGATCCTTATTGAATGCTTTTATCTGTACCTGAAAAGCTATGAAGACAGAATTTCTCACTTGTTCCAAACCAAAGTATCAACTGGAGAGGTCACAGGCTGAATTAATTTTTCTCATCTGCCACAAGATGAGGGACCATGAAAGCACATCCCACTGTACCTGTGCGGTTTTCACTTGCTCTGCAGGGGGCAGGAGAGAGACTTGGGCAGGCTGTGTAGGCATCTGGCCAGATGGCTGAGGTAGATGAGCAGAAATCTGTTCTGGAACTTGGAGCAAAGTACCCATGGGATCAGCTGCTGAGAAGAGCTGCAGCAAACACATGCAGTGCTGTGTCAGAAGGAGAGAGGTCTAGACATCTGAGCGGGCTCACAGGGCAACACTCTCACCGTGTCTTGTCTTGCTACTGAATCATTACCACTTCTCTGCATTTGTCTGTACTACATACAAGTCAGTATTTCTAAGCATTCTTAAATCTTTTAGATTCTGGTTTTGTTTTTGTAGAGGAGGGTGTTTTTGCTTTATTAAACAGGCTGGTCTAGAGCTTGCTAGGTAGTCAAGGCTGGTCCCTCAGCTTCCCAAAAGTTGGGATTGTAGATGTGTGCTGTCATACCTGGCCTAGCAACATTCTGAGATAGAATTATAAAATCTTTAAAAGATGAACCCAGTGGGAGGTGAGTGGGCTGCTGTTGCCTGACCTCTGGAAGAGGGTAAGTAGATCAGTGCTTGTGAGAGTAGGCTGCTCTACCAGACAGCCTAGACTCTCTTCTAACTATGCGTCTCTTTTGCATATGCTCACACATGTCATGCAACTGTCAGGTCATGGTGCAGTCACAGCCTCACAAGAGGCCAACCAGAGGGAGCCATCACACCTGGGAATTACGGCTTCCCAAACTGTGACCCTAGAGAAGAAAAAAAAAAAAGGAAGAAAAGACAACATCTTCAAGAAATGGTGCTGGGAAAACTGGACTGCCATGTGAAGAATGAAATTAGACCCATATCTATCACACCTTACACAAAAATTAGATGGAAGTGGATCAAAGTCCTCAATTTGAAACCAGAAACACTAAAATTTCTACAAGAAAATACAGGCTGTACCCTCTAAGATATATGTAAGGACTTTCTGAATGAGACTCCATTTGCCCAGGAGGCAAGGCCAACAATTGACAGCTAAAACCTCATAAAACTACAGAAAAGCTAAGGAAACAATCAGGCAAGTGAAGAAGCCGCCCACAGAATGGGAGAGAACCTTTGTCAGCTACACATCTGACAGAGGATTAATAACCACAATATACAAAGAACTCCAAAGACAAAGAATCAAGGAAACAAATGACCCAATAAGTAGTAATCAAGGGTCTAAACGGAGAATTCTCAACAGAAGAAATAAAAATGGCCTAGAAATACCTCAAAATGTGTTCACCATCCTAAGCAATCAGAGAAACACAAATTAAAACAACTTTGAGATTTCATCACCCCAGTCAGAATGACTTAGATCATCAAAACATCTGACAACAAATCCTGGCAAGGTCATGGGAAAAGAGTTGGCAGGAAAACTAAAAGTAAATCTACCATACGATTCAGCTATGCCACGCCTGGGATACGCCAAAGGACTTGATTTCCTACTCCACAGATACCTGCTCAGCAATGGTCATGGCTACTCTATTCACAATAGCCAAGAAATGAAGACAATTTAAATGCCCTCCAACAGATGAATAGACAAGGAAAATGTGGTTCATATACACAAAAGGGTACTATTCAACTGTAAAGAAAAATGAAATCATGAACTTTGCAGGTAAATGGAGAGACCTAAAAAAGATTATATTGAAGTAAATAAACCAGACCCAGAAAAACAAATGCTTCATGTTCTCTTGTCTGAGGTTCCTAGCACCAAATCCTCAGATATAAGTATATAACCACAGAAACTAAGAAAGAACCACAGAGCAGGGATAGGGAGAGGAAAAGCAGGAAAGAGGTGATAACAGGTAGGAAAGGAAGTAACAGGAAGGGGCTTCCACCTGGGGAGGGCAAAGGGAGAACAATACAGAAGGAGGAGGATGGACAAGGGACAAGTAACACCAAGGCTGTCTGACAAAGCCTCAAGGAACCGTAGCAGTGTATATTACCTAATACACACAACACATACCAAAGGAAGGAGGCCTAGGCAGGAAGACAGACAAGGAGTGCAAAGCCAGACAGGCTATATAGTCAGAGTTTGTATGAAGGGCAGAGGAGAATGGGAAGCTTGGTAACTAAAAGACATTACACTTTGTATGCTACAAATGTTTAATACATTTTAATTAGGTAATCTTCAGGAAAAACAGATTTTGATTACAAAAGTAAGCTAAATATTTTAAATTAGCTACTGGGAAAAATATCAATGTAACAGACAATTTTAGTACTAAAAGAAAAGTCAATGGACCACAATAGAGGCCTACTTTTGATAGAAAATAATTGATAAACAGGTAGACAGACAGGCACACACACACACACACACACACTCCCTCCCTAACATTGTACATAAGTAAAATCAAGGAGATAGGCTGGAGAAATGACTCAGTGTTTAAGAGGGCTTGCTGTTCTTGCAGAGGACCAGAGTTCAGTTCTCAGCACCCACATCAAACAGATAACAATTGCCTGTAACTCCAGCCCCGGGGATCTGATGCTGTCTTCTGGTTTCTGTGAGCACCCACATGCATGTGTCCCTACACACACACAGATACATACATACATACATACATACATACATACATACATACATAGAAGTTAAAATTAAATTTAGAATTAAAGAACAAAATAAGGAGGCCAGAAATAAAACCTAATGAAACTTTTATATTCATTAATTGCACAGCAAAAAGCTAGCATTGTTTTTAGATTTTGACAGAAAAATAGAACTTAAATTTTAGTTCTGAGTAAGTTCATGTAATTATTAGTAGAATTTCAAAATGGCAGCTTCCACATTATATGTACACATGACTATCTAACCATAAAGACCAAAAGGATATAGAAAACAAAGAAACAAAAATGGGAAGGGATATAGTTGTAGCCCAGCCTCATAGGCACAAAGTCCTAGGTTTGATTCCTATCACTGCATAAAATCAAGCATGGTGGTACAAGCCTATAATCCCCATCCCTGAGGGGGTGGAGGCACAAGTTCAGGATCTAGGTCAGCCTTGGCTACTTAGTGAGTTGGAAGCCAGACTGGGCTATATGAAGGTCCTGTCACCAAAACAAAACAAGGGTCAGGGAAAGTAAATATGGAAAAACTGAAATCTCAGTACACTGTTGGTAGTGATGAAAAATGGTATCGGCACTACAGGAAACAATACAGCTATTCTTCAAAAACTTTAAACACCAAAGCATAGTGGAACATACTTGTAATCCTAGTACTTAGGATGCTGAGGCAGTAGGATTATGACTTTGAAGCCAACTTGGACTACAAAGTAGTACATTGCCTCAAAGCAAACAAGTTGAAAACATAATGGAATGACCACTGTTCAGCAATCCCAGAGAACTGAGAGCAGCTATTAGACACTCGTGTTCAGGGCAGCGTTGTCTACGAGTGCACTTCAGTTGTTGTCTGGCAGATGAATAAAGAAAATATACCCTGCCTACATATATAATGAAATATCAGATATGTAGTCTTAAAAATTAGGATGATACAACATGGATGAACCATAAGGACACTGTGCTGGGTAAAATAAGTCAGTGAGAAAAGAACATATATTATGACTCTACTAATATGAAGTATATAGAATAATCAAGTTTATAGAGATAGAAAATATAAAGGAAGTTGTCAGGAGCTAAAGGTGAGAGAAAATTCAATGGACAGAGTTTTAGCATGGAAAGTTCTTGGGACAGATGTGCAATGGTTACACTAGAATGAATGTATTCAATGTCACCAAACTGAAAATGACTGTAACTGTGAATTTTATGTTATATTAACTTTATCACAATTAAATTAAAAACAATGTAAATAGCATGAGAATGTGGGTATGTAAGAACTCACATGGAGATGCTTTTAGGGAAAGAAACTGAAAAGATCAAAAAGAAAAACTCAGGATAATCTGTAAAATACTTTCTCATTTAATTTTTAAGAAATTAATCAATGTAAGTTAAATCAGAAGCAATCGTTCTAAACTTAGAGTAGGTGAACACGCTCGAGGAGTTTCCTCTCCACAGTCACGTCTACCTCAGCAGCAGGAGCTATCAAGCACGGTATCACTATCACACAAGGAATGCAGTTCATAGTGACAGGGTTAAAAATAAGGAAGCGCAGAGTGGCCCTTCCTTCTGCTAACTTTTTAAGAGGGTGAGGTGAAGGGCAGGGTCTCATGTATTCCAGACTAGCTTTAGACACATTATGTGGCCAAGGATGATCTTGAACTATTTTGTTTGTTTTGTTTTTATTTATTTATTTATTTGCTATTTTCAAGATAGAGTTTCTCTGTGTAACAGTCCTGGATGTCCTGGAACTTGCTCTATAGACCAGGCTGGCCTCAAACTCACAGAGACTCACCTGCCTCTGCCTCCCAAGTGTTGGGGTTAAAGGCATGAGCCCAGCTGATCTTGAATTTCTAATCCTCCTACCTGTCAAGAGCTGGAATTACAGGCATATGCATCCACAGTTAGTTTTGTGTAATACTGGGGATGGGACCCAAGGCTTCAGGTATGCTAGGGAAGCATTCTACCAACAAAGCCATATCCTCAGCCCCCTTCTAACTTCCCACTGGCCAAAAGAATGGACAGGGACTGACATAATTTCAGGCCTTGGAAGAAGAGCAATTCCATTGTACACAGAGAGTGAGGGACAGGAACAGACAGTAGTTGTCATGTACTGTTAGACACTAGTCTGTTGGTAGTTAATATGAACTTGAGTCATGTACTTGGTAGTGCATGTAATCTGCATACTATGTGCACAAATTAAGAGCAAATATATGCTTTTAAATCACATACCGTACTCAAAATAGAAGGTGCTACCAGGAGGAAGACTATACAACAGAATAGACCCATGAAAGCACTTCTCTCAGATAGTAAAAATAAGAAAAGTCCACTTTAGAGGATGCTGTTTGACGGAATTGCCTATCACACTGGTACAAATAAGTACAAAAAAAAAACAAAAAAAAAACAAGGATTTATGCTGTGGGATGTTCTGTATGGCAAATGTGTTGCTAATTAGTCAATAAATAAAACACTGATTGGCCATTGGCTAGGCAGGAAGTGTAGGCGGGACAAGGAGGAGAATAAAGCTGGGAAGTGGAAGGCTGAGTCAGAGAGACACTGCCAGCTGCCACGATGACAAACAGCATGTGAAGATGCCGGTAAGCCACGAGCCACGTGGCAAGGTATAGATTTATAGAAATGGATTAATTTAAGCTATAAGAACAGTTAGCAAGAAGCCTGCCACGGCCACACAGTTTGTAACCAATATAAGTCTCTGTGTTTACTTGGTCGGGTCTGAGTGGCTGTGGGACTGGCAGGTGAGAGAGATTTATCCTGACTGTAGGCCAGGCAGGAAAACTCAAGCTACAGATTTACTTGCTTTAAAAAAAAAAATCAAATGCAAGGACAAGATGACAAGTTCCTAGACAGATTAAGGCAAAACAACTACTTTCCACTTCAAGCAGCTCAAGCCTAAAAAACAGTTCAGCAAGCAAGGAACAGTCTGAGCTTTAAGACAACTTCAGATCTGGCTGGTATAATACCTCATTAACATTCAATCACACACAGTGATACAGAGAGACAAAGACAGACAGACTAAATGAACTTAACATTAAAGCCAAAATACAAAATAAAATGTCTATTTAAGAAGGACTTGATAATCTTGTTACTCACCTCAGAATTTGATAGTGAATCTTTCACTCGGGGAGACTGAAAGACACAGGAAAACACACTTGTTAGCTCAAAACTTAAGATTATTTGTAGTCAGTTTCAAGTAGCAAATTCCAAGACACTGCAAATCATACTGATTACATTCCATTCTGAGCCATAAATTAACTCATCTAACTTTTCTGAAAAAAAAAAAGAAACAACTACAGTTGTTGTTCAAGTAGCCCACAATGAACATATCAATATACTTATCGTATTACAAGTTAACAGTTTCAGCCAGGCATGGTAGCTCACGCATATAATCCCAGCACTCAGGAGGCAGAGGCAGGTGCATCTCTGTGAGTTCAAGGCCAGTTTGTCGATAAATTGAGTTCCAGGCCAGCCAGGGCTACACAGTTGAGACACAGCCCCCACACACCCACCCCAGCACTGGTCTCAAACAAAAGAGAATACACAGAGCAAAACAAAAAGAAAACATAACAAAATCAGTTTTATAAGCAAACAGCCATTCTGTGTGAATTCTCAGGTAGTAAAGGTCATACTCAAAAGCCAAATTTCTCTCCATTAATCATAAACATATGAGTAATGTTTATTTAATGATTGTTAATAAACATAATCAAACGTATTATATACCTAAGATCATAGGCCAAATCTAAGTCTTTAAGCTAGTTATTTGACATATTTTCAAAGTTCCATTATAGACGTTCTTGCACATCCATGCTTACAGCTGTGTTATCCAGCTACATGTCCACTAAACAGAAAATTGGATAAAATAAATGTGGTAAGTATACAATGGAATTTTATTCATGAAGAAAATCAAAAGCATGGCATTTGTAGGAAAACGAGTGAAACTGGAAACCACTGTGAAACCAGACACCCCTGGAAAGACAAATACATCCTATGTGGTGCCTAGATTTCATCTTTCATTTGTGTTTGCATGGTCAGTGAGTCTAGAAAGAGAATCGGAAGAGTTGAAGATATCTTAAGGGGGAGTGGGGAGAAAATAATGGAATGTATGTGACATGAAAATTGAACAGGGGATATTAGAAAGGAGGGAGGAGAGCAGTAGCACTCGAGCTGGAAACAAGAAAGGGGAATGGAGGAAAGACAAGAGTGTGATCAAAGCAGGAAGGACAAAGTGTAAACAGAAATGCCATAATGAAGCTCACTACTGTGTATCTTAAATTAATTTAAAAAATTCTCAAAATAAATAAATATAATAAAACTAAAACTAAACCTATCATATATCCCAGATATACCACACCTGTGTATACGCATGATGGCATTTAGACCAGAGTACATAGAGATAAGACTCAGACAAATGTTATATCATCACATTTTCTGTTATATGACGAATCTAGGTTGAAAGGGGGAAGGGAAGTAGAGGGAGAGAGAACTAGAAAAGTGACATACACACTACAGCACCCAAGCCAAGTAAGCAGATCAAGAGAAATGGAATGGGGGACACGAGAACAGAGGATGCGGGAGGATAACAGTAGGGAAGATAAGAACAAAACAGAATGCTGTATACATATGAAAGTATCACAACGAAACCTATCACCTTACAAATTAACTAATTGTTCTAACTACAAAATCACAAAATTATTGGTAAGCAATAAGTAAAATTCACCTTGTCTAACACCTAATGAAGCAGGAAAGCCCTCCTAATGCCAGTGTGAACAGACACTGAAGTAAACAGAACCGGCATGGACCTCAGAGTTACCAAAGAGACATTATAAATGGTGTCTTATGACTATACTACCTATATTTTAAAAACTAAGTAGCAACATGAAAAAAAACTAACAAATAAGAAAGGAAACAAACAACACAGACAGTGATGTGGAGACATGAAAAACAAAGGAATAAACTTCTACATTATTGTAGTACTTGACATGAGACAGACTGCACACAGGATGTGCAGCAGATCAGAGAAAGAAATGGTGAGCAAATGTCTTCGTTAGGGTTTCTATTACAGTTCTAAAGGTTTAGTCCATTATCTTCACAGTGGTATGCAGGTAGAGATGGTACTGGAGAAGGAGCGTAGAGTTCTACACCTTGATCCACAGACAGCAGAAGCAACTGTCCCAGTGGGCAGGGCTTAAGCATCTATGAGACCTCAAAGCCTGCCTCCACAGTGTCACATTTCCTAATAGTGCTGCTCTCTATGGCCATGTATTCAAACACATGAGTGTGTGGGGCCATACCTATTCAAACTACCACAGTCAACTCCAAGGACAGCACAGAAACTATCCACAATTAAGCAAAATAAATGTTTACCATTTGTATCTTTTGCAGGACTTTTCTAAGTTTGATGCTTAATAAATATTTGCCAATTTTCATTGGCAAGGCCTTAAAAAAACTTACTTATACAAAAGAATTAGACTTAAAAACCTACCAGGTAAGTAAAAATTCAATGATGAACATCAAGAGTCCTAAGGGGACTAGGCATGGTGGTGCACACCTTTAACCCCAGCATTTGGGAGGCAGAGGCAGGAGAATCTCTATGCGTTCAAGGCCTTCTCTTTATAGAGAGCTCCAGGACAGCCACACCTACAGAGAAATCTCGTCTCAAAAAAAGTAACAAAAAGAGTCCTAAGAACTCCCATGAGAGTAGATCCCACTAGGCAATGATATAAACATAACCATTATTAAACTCACCAAAAAAAAAAAGGGTACTGAGCAGGCAAGCTATATATAATTTAGGGTAAGAATGATGAAGCAAAGGAAAAGGAAGACCCTAAGGCACACACACAAACACGGCAACATAAGATATCCAATATATACCAATTAAAGAAGTCCACTGTTCCTCTCCATGTAAGGGGTAACATGCTTCCAGGACATGGTTTTATGTTACAAGGTCTTCTAGTTCACAATTCTTCTGCAGTGTCTAGCCATTAGTACAATCCAGTTATTCTCCATATCAAGACAGTTTCCACCTCTAAACATGGGTCATTTTCATATGTCCTAAATGTCATCACATTCAGAGAGCATGCCCGTCTAGTTTGCTACATAGTACCCAGGAAACCGTCAGTAGTTCTTGTCTTCTTTCTCTTCCAGCTCACAGACAACTCTAGCTCAAGAGTCTATCCAGTTCACTAACACTTACCCTGAGTTGTGAGATGGCTGCTCTCCCTTCCTCACTTTCCTCATCAAATTCATCATCACTCCACTCCCAGCCTCCGTCCTCTGTCTTATGGAGACGGCCGCTGGAGCCCGGTACTCTCCGAACCTGAGCAAAAGGAAGGCGTGAGAATTATGGTATTTTGTATACACTGAACAGGAACCTCAATTCTTTTTCCACCTAAATAAAACAGTAACTAGATCATTATTATCCTGGTAAGTGTGCCATACAAATTCGCACCCTCTATCCCTCAATCTGCTCTATCTAGTTGGTACTTTAACCACAAGCCTCTTTTACTCTTAACCCCAATAATAGTTTTTATGTTAAAGCATAGGGGGAAAAAATCTAACATGTAATGTCCCAAGACATTTAAAGGAGAAGAAAGGAGGTTTCACATATACCATACACAAACCCAAGGTAAAGAATCCACTGTTTTTCAACTTCTTTTTTCCTCTTTTGGGTCAGGGTCTCACTGTGTAGCTCTGGCTGGTCTGGAACTTGCATTATAGATCAGGCTGGCCTTGAACCGACACTGATCAGCCTGCCTGTCTCCTCAGTGTTGGGATTAAAGGTGTGCACCACCATATCCAGCTTCAACTTTTTTTTTTTTTTTTTTAATTTTCGAGACAGGGTTTCTCTGTGTAGCCCTGGCTGTCCTAGAACTTGCTTTGTAGACCAAGCTAGCCTCAAACTCACAGAGATCCACCTGCCTCTGCCTCCAAGTACTGGGATTAAAGACCACCACCTGGCCAGTTTCAACTTTTTAATCCAAAATTATAAATTATATTCACAGAGCAGAGGTTCAAGAGTTCAGGAAAACCAGCAATCTCTTAACCTTCACACGCTAAGCAAGGGATGTAGCTCAGCGGTCAGACACTGCTCTAGGACGCAAGAACCTGGGATCAGTGCTCGGTACTGGGGAGGCGCTAATGGACACTGTGGACCAGACAAAGTGGCATATTCCCAGTGCTTAGGTGGACCAGGCATTCAAAGCTACCTTTGGCAATATGGTAAGTTAAGAGGTCAGCCTGGGCTACATGAGATCCTGACTCAAAAAAACAAGTTTTATATCTTCTTCCTAATATTAGCCTCCTTTGCAAGTTTATACTCATCTCTAATAGGTGTTTTTTGTCCCCTGCCCCTTCCTTTTTTTGATCTATTTTAGGAGTTGTCAATGTATGGAATTTTTCACAATGGAAGATGAAAATTTCACTATAATCAGTGTTGTACTCTTTCCTTAAGGTACACTGTCTTCTTAGTAATCTCCCTACATTCAGAAACAGTAAGGATTCCCCCTCTGCCATCTTCTTAAAGAAGCCTTAACAGAGCCAAAGGATACTTCCTGGATCAGATGACTTCCAGTCTTGTGTACTTCCTCCAGTATTGGCATGGTACATTTATTAACACTAACTATTTTTTCAAATTTTATTTTTTTAATATGTATGAGCATTTTCCTATATGTATATCTGTGTGCCACTTGTATGCCTGCTGCCCACTGAGGCCAGAAGGTGGTCTTGGATTCCTCTGGAACTGGGATTTACAGACAGTCATGAGCTATCATGTGGGTGCTGGGAATCAAATTACATCTTTTCAAAGAGCAGACAGTACTCTTGACCACTGAGCCATCTCCACAGCCCCTAAAGCCAGACATTTTCCACTTACTTCAATTCAAACTCGATTCATGACATGGTTAGGAAAAGGGTCCAACCAGAGAACCTGAGCTAGAACTGACCTGAAAAACCTCCACGTACTAGTTTTCATGGTACAGAAGGCGCCAAGCAAGCTTCTACAGGAGGGAAACCACCCAGAGTCCTATCCAGCTATAACACCTAGGAAGCACAACCACCACCACCAACATGGCCCGACAACCCGAAGGGGACATGCAGCACCGACTTCCACACCTGGGTGGTAAACAGCAGCTCTCTAACTGGACTTAAGGTCTGCTCAGAAAGAGGGAAACTATGCCTGGTACTAGAAACCCAAGGCTAATGTAGTCATGGATCTTGGAGGAGAACCTACAATTGTCACTTTTACTACAATCCCCAACTACATTCTAAATATTTTCTTATACCCATAAATAAGTGTAGCTTTCATCTCCACCAAGGAAACTTCCCTTTGCAAAGATGGAGAGCACTACAGCAAACCAGTTCAAAATGTAGCTGTGGAGTCCAGTCCCAACTGATACATCTACAACACAGCTCCTGCACCTAAGGCTAAAGCGACATCTCAGAAGAGGGAACAAGAAAACGTAAGAGTCAAAAAAAATCAGAGAATTTCCTGTGAGGTTGTGTCTTCTAGAAATGTCAGAGAAGTTACAACCATGAAATCTCACCAAGATATTTACTAGACGTGAAGAAGGACAACATGCACACATGCTAACATGGACAAGGGAAAGCCCACAAGGCCTCAAGCCTAGACAAAGAACTACAAGCAACTGAGAGATGTTGAGACGAGGAGAAACAGTCTTCCCCAGGGAAGAGCACACTGATTAGTTACCCAATCCCAATGGTCAGCCCTACAAACATGAAATACAGTTAACATTAGAGGGACTGACAGGTGTACGTATATATTTAGGGAAAAATATATTATACACATATGCACGTACAGACACACAAAGCTCACAACAATTTAAGAAAAAGAAGCCATGGATTTGGGAGGGGTGTACATGTGAGGGGTTGGACAGAGGAAAGAGAAAGGGGAAAAGAAGTAATTATAATCTCAAAACCAAAACATTGTAAGAATAAAAAGAAAAAGATCTGAGCTAGAAATCACTTTATTTCATGATTGGAGCCCTGCTCACTGGTCTGTCTTACAGAGGTACTGTACTGCTGAGGTGACATTGCTCTGCTCTCTGGAAGACAAGACACAATGGTCTGGAAGACTATGTGCTCAATCGGCGAGTGCTAGAGTTGCGGTGTGTATCACCACAGCGGGTTTCCTCAATCTTTCTGCCTTGGTTATCCTGGCTTCACAGTAATGTGTTTATCTATTTGTAGATATAATTACTGATTTCACTGTGCCCAGTACTCAGGTTCCTCCCATCTGGAAGCTTCTGACCACCACTTGATACTTTGCTGTGGTGATATTTTGTTTGTGCTGAAATGTGATATTTGTATGTTAATAAATAAAAGTTTGCCTGGAGATCAGAGGTCATAGCCAGCCATAAACAGAAATCAGGTGGCGGTAGCACACGTCCTTAATCCAATCACATGGCAGGCAGAGTCTCTGTGTGTTTAAGGACACAGCCAAAGACGAGGAAGTGAGGTGGCTGGGTTAAGAGCCAATGAGAAGGCAGAACAGCAAGGCAATAAAGGCACAGGTTAGACAAGAAGAGGCTCTGTTGGGAAGCTATGGCAACATGGTGAGGTTAGTTGGTGGCTTGATTTCTACAGCTTTCACCCCTGTATTTGGCTCTGTGTTTCTTATTTAATAAGACAGTTTAGAAATTCATCTACAATTGGCACCTATGTGGCAATAATTCTTTAAAAAACCATTGGTGGCCTTATAGGCCAGGGATTACAGGCCCCCAGACCTGGCCAGAGCTACAAGTGATTCGGATTACATGCAGCCTGTAATTCTACTTTTCGGAAACTCTTCAGTGTTGACCCCTTTATCAAGTGGTCCTCTATTTGGACCTTTCTTGTTACCTCTTTCTGGTGGACCCTCCTTTCAGAAACGCATCCATATCTTTATCCTACAAAGTTTGTGCCCATTTTTTTTTTATTACTGTGTTTTCAACTTACCCCTATGGATGATGATCTTTTGAAAATATCAGCTTCACTGATATAATAGAAAAGTTCTATTGATATTTGTTTGTTTGTTTATTTGTCTATTTAGTTATGTAAGTATCACTACTTTCAAATTAAGAACATTGTGATCACCATCCTTCACGCACATCACAGGACCAGAGGTCACTGCCCATTTCTCTCCACTTTCCCCAGGCCTGGGGAATTAGCCTACTCCATGTCTCTCTGCATTCTTGAACATTTCCCACAGAATCAAATACTATGCATTATTTTGTAAGTGATTCATTTTAATAACATGTTTTAAAGGTTCATCATGTTACAGCATGGATCATTATAAATGCTCCCAGACTTCCAACTAGGATACATACATACATATACATATACATATATAAGTAAGCTGAAAATACATTTAATCCATCTACTCTAGCAAGCACCACAGCTTAGCAACAGTAAGCTCCAAGTAAGGTTCGCTGTGCGGCTGGCTAGGAGCTAGCAGCCTCTCCAAGGAGCATGGGATTGCATATTGCTGGCTCGGGAAATGTTTGTAGGTGGTGTTCATCTCCTTACCTTCCTACCATTCCCACTTCTTTCCTTCTAGCTTTTTAGATGAGGTCTCACTACATTGTTCAGTCTAGTCTCAAAACTCCTGAGCTCGATTTTTAATAAATTTTCTTAAGTTTTTTAAAACAAAACTCCTGAACTCAAGTGCCCAGACTGCCTCAACCTCTTGGTACTAAAGTTAGAGAAGAATGCACTACTAACCCTGGCATCAAAGCAAGGCTGCTACCAAATGTCTGTTATTTCTCACAAAATTATAAATTGAACTACTGTAAATGGATCAACATCTGTACTTTATTCTTTATTACCAAATAATATTTTGCTGTATGGACAAAACATGCTATACAACTGCTCATTGGCTCATGAACATTTCTACTTCGGGATTATTATGAATGCTGAACATTTCTTGAACAGGCTTTCAACACTCCTGTGTATGCATAGGACTGGAATTTTTAGGTTATATGATAGTTCTGTTTAGCCATTTCCAGAAGCATCAAATGATTTTCCAAAGTTGTTGCATCATTTTACATCCTAATCAGCAAGGTCTAAGGGCTACAGTTTCTACTTTCTTCACCAACAGTCACTGTCTTTTTATGATGGACATATAAAACTCCTTGTTAATTTAATTTGTATTTCTCTAGCTATAAATTAGAATGGGCATCTTTTTGTAAACTTACTGGCCACTTGTGCATATTCTTTGGAAAATTTTCCATTTCATCTTTTTGTTTGTTTGTTTGTTTGTTTTGAGACAGGGTTTCTCTGTGTAGCCCTGGCTGTCCTGGAACTCACTTTGTAGACCAGGCTAGCCTTCAACTCCCAGCGATCCACCTGCCTCTGCCTCCGAAGTGCTGGGATCAAAGGCATGCGCCACCACTGCCCTGCTCTATTCCATCTTTTACTCATATTAAAAATTGGGTTTGTTTGCTACTTACTGAGTTGTAGGAATTCTCAATCTTTTTATTAACATTTATTTATTTATTTGTTTGTTTGTTTAGAGAGAGAGAGGGGGAGAGTGTTTGTGTACTCACAGAGGTCGACACACTCCCTCACTCATACTCCTGTAAAAGCTGCTTCTCTTCTTCTACCGTGTAGGTTCTGGAAGTCATCTTTACCTGCTGAGCCATCTTACCAGCCCTGTCCTTTGGTTTAGATAGCATTCTTGCTCTTTCTGCAAAATAAACTTCTTAGACCCCAGTGTACAACATGGAATGAAGGGTAAGTAGAGTCTGTCTAACTTTCAACTAACCCTCCTGCTTTTAGCTCAACTTTCACTCTTATAATTTTTGTTTTGTTTTTGAAGTACTGTGGATTGAATTCAAGGCCTTACGAGAAGTGTTCTACCATTGAGCTATAGCTGTGAGTGTGAGTATGTGTGTGTATGCTTGTGGAATGTGTATGTGAGCTTATGAATACATGTATGTGTACATGAACATATAACAGCCCAAGGCCACCGTAAGGAGTTATTTTTCCTCAATTGTCCTTCGACTTCATGTTTTTAAGTTTATTTATCCTATTTTATGTATGTTTTGCTTGGATGTATGTACACCATGTGCATGCTATGGTGCCCAGGCTATGAGCCACCATGTGTACTGAGAATTGGACCCAAGACCTCTGCAAGAGCAACAAGTGCTCTTAACCACTGTTTCTCCCTCTCCAGCCCTCACCCTTATTTTATGAGATAGGGTCCTGCACAGAATCTCAAGTTCATCAATTTGGCTAGGCTGCTGTGCATCCAATGAGCTTCAGGGACCCATCTGCCTCCATCCTCTCACCCCCTAGGCTAGAGTTACAGGCATAATCTCTCATGTCTTTTCTTTATGTGGGTTATGGAGATGTGAACTCATGTACTCATGCATGTGCAACAGGTACTTTACCCATCGAGCCAGCTCCCCATTCCCACCCCCAAATTTAATTTTGAGACAGCCTCTCACAACATTGTCCAGGCTAGCCTCACTTACAATCCTTTTGTTTCGGTCTCCAAAATATTGTAAGTGTATGATTACAGATGTATGTTATAAAACCCAGCTTGTGGGGTTTTTTTGAGGTTCACCGATCTTAAAGAAATCACACTGCAGACACTAAACAATTTCAATTAGGATTTACTACAATTACAAGCACAGAGATTTTAAATTGCATCAAATTACTTGTGAATGTTTACTGTGTACAAAGAACTGACCTAGGCCTACTAAGACAATGTGGAAAACATAAGCTTTTGTTCTAATAGTTGTCACATGTTAGATAGTGATACGTTCTTCAAAGCAAAGCAAAACATGAAGGAATAGAAAGTTGGAGTTCAGGTAGTCAAAGACAATTTTGAGGAAGTGCTATACTAATGACCTAAAGTGAGTGGGACAATGAACAGTGTTTCCTTCCCTGAGTGGCCAGCCATGGAAGGAACATTCCCATTCCCCAGACATTAGATTTCAGTCATCTGTGATAACCTGATTATACGCTGAACTCCTTGTGATTCTGATAAGCGACAGCAGTTGATAAACTCAAGGGGAAAGAATACAAGTAAAAATGGAAGGGAAACTTTCTAGAAGGGAAGTAGTGTCATTTTAATTCTAGGGAAGAAAAGACTAGCTTCTCATGAGCACTTTATGAAGAAGAAAATGGAGATCTTTTTGTTTTGCTTTTCAAAACAGGGCTTTTCTGTGTAGCCCTGGCTTTCCTGGAGCTCACTCTGTAGACAAGGCTGGTCTCGAACTCACAGAGATCTACTTGTCTCTGCCTCCCAGGAGCTGGGATTAATGGTGGACACCACCACTGCCCAGCAAAAATGGACATCTCTTAATAATCAGACTTGAGCATTTCTACTTGCAGAACGACAGAGCTCAGAAGTGAAGGCAAGCTAATGTGCTGTTAGTGATTGTTAGTAAGTATATAAACTTAGAAAACTTAAGATACCTTTGTTCTGTATTAAGCAAAACCTTCTGAATAAAGACCTTCATTTCAAGTCGTCAAATGTACAGACAGTAAGCTTCTACCAGAATGATCCCAACTTCCTAGGCAGGCCTTATACTATACCATATACCAGAATGACCCTAATTTCCAGACAAGTCTTCTACTATATCATATGGAACAGAGGACCCTGGTCTTCTCCCTCTAGTCCATCATCAACAGAAATCCATGGGACAACATTTCCTTCACACGTGCTAAGTCTCCTTTAAGGGGAGAAGAGTAAAGAAATGGGGGGAGGGGGGTTCTTTGTGGTGAAATGGCAAACATCAATTTTGCCCAAACTGGGACTTTAATGTATTCTTTATGTTCAAATTATGACCAAAGTTCTTAGAAACAACACACACCAAACAAGGTGCTTTGTTATAACATTGTCTAAAGTTAGGAGGTAATATGACTTATACCCCAAGCTGTAAGTGCTATGCAAAATCCCCATCTCTAGACAGCTGGAAACAGTTACTAGCAGACTCACTGACTCACCACCAACTGCCATCCAGCCCACCTTGTTATTCTAGGAGACAGCAGAGTAACACCTAAGCATACAGCTGACAGGTATTTGCTGACTGGGTATATAAAATGCTTTAAAATGGCTGAAAATAAATAATCCACATTTCTATCAACAGAATAGCACCCACTTTAAAAATGCAAAACAAACAACAAAAAACTCCCACAAATCTATTCTAAACAACCTAAGAAAACTGAATTAAACCCTGATGATACCCCCATTTACCTTCTTAGATCTTTCAGAAATGGTAGGTGCTCTCTGTAGTATTTTTTCTTGAAGAAATTCTTTATTCTAAAAAATAAAAGTCAGTTATCAGAACCTTTTATTGAACCGAACACTGACACAGAAGGGTCAATCACAATTAATATGTGATAAATAAACTGTTTTGTGAAGAGATGAGAAAAGCTTTTATCTTTTCACTCTGAAGGCTTTTACACAGCACTTCCATCATTTTTCAACTGGAGACAAATCTTTAGTGTGTACTAGTAATCATTTTCTATGAAAAGCTCCCTTTACTGTATGTCCTTTGTTGGCCCTGCATTTACAAATGGACTAATGCCTTGTGGTTGGGATATGGGGTATTTATTAGTTCAGAGAGCTCAGTTGTTCAGATTGCTTTACAATAGGAAAAAAAAAACTGTTCATGTGTAGGCAGATGTATGTCATATGTGTGTTAGGATAAGATTTCTCATTGAGACTTAAGGTCATGAATTAGCCTAGTCTTACTAGCCAAAGAGTTCTAGGGTCCATCTGTCTCCACTTACTCAATTCCAGGGGAATTATAAGCCAAGTCTCTATACCTCGATTTCTTTATGGGTTCTGGGAATCAAATTTAGGTCTTTATGCTATGTGGAAAGCATCTCACTCCAGCTCCCCAAAACAAGTTATCTTACTTACCAAAAACTGCATACATAATACCTTTAGTAATTATTTTATCTACCATCATTTCTTCAAATGTAACCATCTTAATCATGCTTAAGAAATGCAGCTTATAAACTCTGAACACAACTAGTACCATATGGATGCATACACTCAAAAGCTGGAATGCCCACCTTTGCTTTCTGGAAAAACTTGTGCCTCAATAGCTCTGCTGCTGTTGGTCTAAAAACAGAAAGGAGAATTTTTAGTTTTCAAGCACAATATGAATTTCCATCTTCAAAAATGAGAAACTATTTCCTGAACAGCAAACTAAAAACTCCTTAGCATATTTCACTTTATTTCCCCTGCTAAAAAACAAAAAGCAGGATAAACTTGGTATAGGACGCTGAGTAGAACAAAAATTCAAATAGAAATGTGCTAATGACAACTGCAGAATCTTTGAAAAATTCATTAGTAAAATACTGTTTCTAGAAGAAAATTCTTAGGGACTTCCAATGTTTGCTACTTAGCAATATCATTTTCAGGGAGTTAGACGATAACGTGTAAAAATGCATTTAAACTGGAAAAGAGAAATCAAACATTTTGATTCTTGCTATACAGCTGCCCAACAGGTTTCAATTTAAGGCAACAACAGATTCTTAGAGATTGCTCAATTTCCCTTTAAGGAAAAAAAATATTTAAAGTATATTTTCCAAATTTAACCCAAATTCAGTTGTGTTCAGTTATGCATGATCTTGTTTGGAGTAAATTCTTCATTATCAACTTATCAACTTTACAAGCTTTCATAAGAAGATCACTAAGAATAAAGAATTTACACTTCAAAGACCTCACCTAACATTACCACATAATTACCATGTAACGCTATTCAATGTTTGCTCAGAGTTGTCTACCCAAGTGCTAAGAACAGTGTTGGTTCTGTCTTGTTTCATCCCAATGATGAGGATGGAAGTTTGTACAGAACTTTTTTTTTTTTTTGGTTTTTCAAGACAGAGTTTCTCCGTGTAGCTTTGGAGCCTGTCCTGGAACTTACACTGTAGACCAGGCTGGCCTCGAACTCACAGAGATCCGCCTGCCTCTTCCTCCCGAGTGCTGGGATTAAAAGCATACGCCACCACCACCTGGCCCTACACTAGGCTTTATCTCACCAAATAAAGCATAATATTTGAGAGTGAGACTGAGGTATCAGTAGTGCTTAAACCTTCCCAGGTAGTTCCAAAGTAAATTTTAAGCTTAAGAACCAACGCTTCAGAAGATTAATGCAGATTAGGAACAAACGGCAAATGTTATGTCAACTGAAATTAAACAGTGGCACTCTTCATTTGGTAAAGATTTCAATGTTTAACGCTTTCTTTGCCAGGATAGCACCTTAGTACTCATTTCTTTCTTCTAGGTCCATTCCTTTTTCTCAGGTACAACTGTGGAAGAGTGAAATGAAAGGACGTGACTACAAAACTCAGTCACTACAAAAACAAAAACAAACCACCTTATTCCATGTTCACTCTTGAACTCTAGAACTTGACTAGCTGGAGAACTGGCAGTTACTCTCCCTCGTACGTACTACTTAACTAAGGTTTGGCCTCACTCACGTGACTAGAGGCAGCGGCCTGCAGTTCCTCAGCAGGGAATTACTGAGGCTGCATACAAGAGATGCACAGCAGGGAGAAGAGACACCATCTGGAATCTCTAGTGTGAGTAGTCAAGGCTTCACAGCTACAAACTCTGCAGTTCTGTCTTTCCATGAGTAGATTGTTTCTGAGTCTCATGCAGCAAGGCTGCCCTCACGCTTGGCTTACCAGCCACAGCTGACCGCTCCCTTCCTCCTCCTCGTCCGCCCAAGTGTTAGGAGGCAGGCTCTTATCTCACTGTTACTCCTCCTCCATTCTCACCAGTCTCTCCCTGTAAGTCTACACATGTGCACACAAGCATTTGTGTGATTGTGTACATACAGACTGAACGTCCCATTTACTCCAGGTGTGATTTGCACAAGGCTAGTTAACCTCTGATTTCTGTTTCTTCATTTGTAAAATAGAGAAAGGAAAAGTACTGTCCTGGTGAGAGTACTGTGAAAATTAAATGAGATGGTGTACGTGCTTTAAATGTTTAGGACAGTGCTTGGGACTTAACCAGCTGATAGTTTTTGTTGTTGGTGTTATGTTTTCTTTCATTCTTCTGTTTAATGGGTTTACTAAGGGTTGAGTTTTATGTTGTTTGATCTTAAATAACGTTTAATTCTAGTTCTCAAATTGGAATGCATTTTCTATACTTCTCAGAGATTTAAAAAATATCTATTTTGAAATAGTTTTGACTTATGGAAGAGTTGAAAAGATGGTACACTATTCCTTCACATCCTTCTCTAGCTTCATGAAGTTAGCCTTTGACATGATCAAATTATAATTATCAAGAAATAACTAAAGCATTAACACTAGGACAATCTTTCTAACTAGACACTACAGATTTCATTTGGATTTCTTCAGTTTCCCATGGTGCCCTTTTCTGTCAAAGCCCCTGTGGCATACCTGTCACATCTAGTCTCCATGTCCAATCAATCTCTTCTAATCAGCCAGGTTTTTCAATTTCTTCTTTGCTTGATACTTCTGATAAATACAGATATTCTATAGCATATTTCTCAACTTGGAGCTCTTTGCTACTTTCTCATTATAAACTGGAATTATGGAATGGGTGAAGAAGGCTTCACAGGCAATGACCTTTCTTACTGCATCATTGTCCAAGGTTCATTATGCTGTGCCCTTGATCATCTAGTGGATCTTTCTTTATACCTTATTCAATCAGGAGCAAATTATAGCCCAGCCCATACAAGGGGAATCCATTGTTTTACATTTTAACTGAACCTTCCCATTCTAGAAGTCTTGCTTGATTCTTTGGTCATAATCAGACTTTCCCTATGGTTTTGATTTATGGTTTTAATAAATTTAAAGATTTATAATCTTTTCAGCTACCACTGCATTATGAAACTTCCTGAAGAACTAAAGCTATCGTGTCTGCCAACTCTAGTTCATGGTGCAGTGTCACCATGTGTGCCGCAGCTTGAATGGCTGACAGCAGCTTGAGTGGAGTGTTGTTCCCAGGAGCCGGAGACCTGGATTTGCTGGTGTTCTCTGAGTGCACTTCTGAAACCTTGCAGCCCCAAATGAGGCTGCCTGATGACAGTACTTCAATGCTTACACCCTAGGAGGTGCAGCGTATGCATCTACTGTGGAGAGTGCAAATTCAGACTCAACCCGTCAAAATAAAGTCAAAACAATGAGGAGAGATGTTGGTGCCTCTTGGCAATGACCAGTTTTTATTCTGTTTATCATCTCACTGAGAAGGGAGGGAGGCTTCTTGTGTGTATGTGATGTACATAGATACACAAGAGGCAAACATTCATATGTATAAACTAAAAATAAATATGTATAAAAAAAGAGGAGGGGGCTGGAGAGATGGCTCAGAGGTTAAGAGCACTGACTGCTCTTCCAGAGGTCCTGAGTTCAACTCCCAGCAACCACATGGTGGCTCACAACCATCTATAATGAGATCTGGTGCCCTCTTCTGGTCATACATGCTATACAAAATAAATAAATAAATCTTAAAAAAAAAAAAAAAGAATGCCTGGCTCAAATAAATAAATGGAATTGAAAACTAAAATAAAAAAAAAATAAAAAAAAAAAAAAAAGAGGAGGAAGATGATCCTATCTTTATATAGGAACTCAGCTGAAAATCTCCTCCAGGTGGACCCAAGGTCCTAATTCCAAAAGTCACAGCACCGGATTCAGAAAGCCAGCCTAGCAGGATACTGGAGTGAGTGGTGTTCCACTGGAGGGAGCCACTGGATTAGTTCAGGACTCTTCTGTAATTTACGGATTCTTCGCTATTTCTGGCACCTAAGGATCTTTTAAGTTTGATGGATTTTTATCTGTTACTTCTAGGTATTTGTAACAAAGGAATCTGTTCTTTTTGTCGGCTAGCTTGGCAGAAACAAAGGTATTCCTATCAATTTTAGCCACTGCTGAGAAACAGAAAAAAATTCTAAAAACATACACATGAACTTTTCTGCTGTTTTTCTTACCCTTTCTAATATTTCCAACAGTAAATTCTGAAGCCCCATTACATATACTAGACACATGATCAAGGATGTCAAAGTCTTTTATTTTTGTCGACCTTTAGAGAAAACAAAATTAAACAACTTTTAGTACTAAGAAACTTGTGGAATATACAGTCGTCCTGTGGTATCCCAGGAGAATTGTTTCCAGAAAATTGTATCCCTTTGCCAATACCAAAACTCTGATGCTCAATCCCCTGTATTGACATGGACCAGTATCTGCGTAGGACCCACACAATCCTCCCGCACTTTCACCACCTCCAGCTTAACTAGGGCAGCGCTATCCTGCCAATTCAATGCCAACAGCTGTTATACTGCGTTGCTCAGAGAATGAGGACAAAGAAGAGGCGGATGATGCTGAGTGCTGATATAATTGGATCAGAGTACATGGGTCCACAGGTAGATGAACCTGCAGATGTGTGTGTGGGGGGGTGGATATGGGAAGCTGATGTATACACACACAAACAGAAACTAAGATACAGTGGGGATGCAGCCCCAAGTTACAAATGATGAGCTTTAAATTCAAGTTCTACCTTTGAGACTAGAGATCTGAGTGACCTTAAAACAGAAGGCTCCACTCAGTGATCTCACCTACAAATGCTGTTCAAAAGCAACACACACACTAAATACCCTTAGTTAAGAGCCTGCTACTTACCACTGACTGTGTCTAAAGCAGACAAGGAAACTATTTTAAATTGTGTTTACTAAAATCTTTCCAACATGGAAAGTACAATTATTTGGCACGAAATATAAATGTGTTATGTTAAAGCTCTTTTGCTATTAAACTGTAAATGGCAATTATATTTTAAGTGCAAGTTGGAAAAAGAAAAACTTCCCGGCCCTGGTGGCACATAACTTTAATCCCAGCACTCAGGAGGCAGAGGCAGGCAGATCTCTGTGAGTTTGAGGCCAGTTTGGTTTACAGAGCGAGTTCCAGGACAGGCTCCAAAGCTACACAGAGAAACCCTGTCTCAAAAAAAAAAAAAAAAAAAAAAAGTAAAAAGAAAAACTTTCCCATTAACATGGCATTTTACTAATACAGAATTCACAATATATAATTTCATAGTTAATTTGCTTTTTGGTTTCTCTGTGTATCCTTGGCTGTCCTGGAACTCACTCTGTAGCCAGGCTGGCCTAGAACTCACAGAAATCCACTTGCTTCTGCCTCCTAAGTGCTGGGATTAAACGTGTGCACCACCACCACCCGGCTCATAATTTCATAGTTTTAAGAAATTAATCAAGATCTGAACCATCAAGATATACAATATACTTAAAAGAACACAGAAATCAACTCAGTCCCTTCCAATCTTATAAAATAGCCTTTATAAATGTTTCCAAAGTTTGTATTTCATTCATTTTAAGAATACACACATAATTCCACATATACATACACATGTAAAATTTAGGGTTTCCCACATTGTTTATGTATCAAAAAGAGACACGTCACATTTTCTAATATCTTACCTTTTTTCTGGATCCTTTTGAAGGCACAGTGAAATCATTTTCCTAAATGATTTTCCATACTTTTTCAGCATTTCTTTATCTTGAACACCAGTTTCCAAAGAAGGAGGATCGTTCTGGAGTGTCAGCATTAAAACCTGCAAGAATTTTCAATACAGTATGAACTTCTAAGGAGTTTTTAATATGGATGAAAGTTGACTATAGGGGCTGGAGAGCCGGCTGAGCCGGCAGAGTCGGCAGAGTGCTTGCTGCACTACAAGCAGAAGGAAGGACCTGAATTTAACCCTTCAGAAGTCACATAAAAACGCCGGGTATGTGGTCCACGCCTGTAATCCCAGCTGGGGAGCGGGAGGAGCTCCTTGCGGTTTGCTGGCCAGCCAGTCCAGCCATACTGTCAAGTTCCAGTTTCAGGGAGAAACCTTATCTCAAAATATAAGGTGAAGAGTGACTGACAATAACCTGTGGTCTCTAAAAGCTCACACGCAGATATACATGCACACATACACGTTAACACCTAAGAGGGATTTTAAGGGTTGGGGATATAGCTCAGGGGATATACGTACTTGTCTAGCATGTGTGAGACCCTGAGCCCAACACCAAGCACCACAAGGAATAGAGTGGTTGTTTAGAACCCAAGGTTTTCATGTGTACTGGACATTAGTTAAGAGCTATAGATGGATGGATTCGTACCCAACCTGCCCACAAGTGCCCACTGTCAACATTGCTATTATATCCTTTAGTTAAAATCCTTTATTCACGTCCCCAGCTCTAATTCTTCTACTTTCAACCTACTATAAAAACAAAACATCAAAGCCACAGCAAAAGAAATATATGTGCGGCCGTTAGCTTGTCCAGTACTTGACCTGTCCTCCCTTGACTTTACATAGTGTGGACCCTTTTCTTCCAGAAACTTCTATACAGAAATCACCCATTCAGACATTTAGTTCCCATTCTTCCTGCCTCCCTGCAACCTGGGACGTCTTAGCTATTCTGTCACCAGAGGCTACGAGAGGCAGATGGGCAGAGAAACCACAGTTGGATAACAGACCAAACCGCAGTGAGACCAGGGCAGCAGTTCTGTGTTCACAGCACAGCAAGACGACTGTAATCCACCAGTTCACTCGGAATTCTATGAGGAACTACATAAAGAGTTCAAAGACTCTGAACCCAAGGAAAAAGAGTTTGTAGATGGCGAAGAAAACATCATGAACGTCTGTAACTTGACTGCACATCCAAAAATGGTTTATCCTGGGTTTGATCCATATATAACACCAAGTAAAAATGGCTAGGTTGGTAATTTTATTGGAAAGATTATATTTTGCTACAACACACATACAAAATCTAGGAAAATAAATAACTACAGGTATAACTGGCAAATGTCAAAGGCTTGGAAAAAGGGGCTGGAGAGATGGGTCGGCAGTTAGGAGCACTGAATGTTCTTCCAGAGGGCCCGGGTTCAACTTCCAGAACCTACATGACGGCTCACAATTGTCTGTAACTTCGGTTGTAACTTCGGTTCTAGGGGACCCAACGCCTTCACACAAGACATACATGCGGGCAAAACACCAAAGCACATTAAAAAAAAAAAAGCTGTGAAAAGTAACTGGGACTTGAGCTGGAATAATACTTTGAATATGAGCCTCACCTTCATTGGTGGATATTTATGATAAGGAGCTGCCCCTGTGGCCAGTTCAATCGCTGTGATTCCAAAACTCCAGATATCAGCTTTAAAATCATAACCTCTAACCTGAAGGAGTTGGAGGGAGGGGCAGAGAGAGAGAGAGAAAGAGAGAAATGTGCACAATTACTTTAACCAGACTAAAACACTTACAAAAGTTTCCAGGATGTCATGAAAAATTAAAGTGTTCATAAGCTTTGGCAGGTTGTTTCTTTTTTTGTTTTGTTTGGTTTTTTTTTGGGAGGGGGGTTTCGTTTTGAGAGGTTTCTCTGTATATCCCAGGCTAGCCTTGAATTTTTGATTCTCCTGCCTCAGCCTAAGCACTGGGATTGTAAATGTGCACTACCACAATGTGTTCATAAACCTTAAACCAGTAAACTGTTAACTATTATAATCACTGAAAAGAATGTTATAGTCAATTACTAGCAGTGCTTATTAATTCTGCATGAAAATATGGAAAAATAGTCATAAAACAAAAATATGAAACTATCATTAAGTGTGATATAATTAAAAGGTGTGCTCTATTTACAAAACAAACAAACAAACGGACAAAATGGGAGCAAAGACTTTACATAGCCCTGTCTTTTATTTTAAAATTCCAGGACACCTTTTTTCTTCTTTTCTTCCTTGTCTTTCCTTCCCTTTATTTCCTGTCTCTCTCCTCCTGGGGTTTTTGTTTTTGTTTTAAGACAAGATCACATTAGGCAGGCCAGACTGGAATTCTCCATCCTGCCTCAGTCCCCAGAGTGATGGGATTAAAAAAATGTGCTACCATACCCAGGTATTTTATCATTATTCCTACAATTGAGAAAAGTTATATAGGGACTGTGGATTTTTGTACGTCGTTGGTATGAACAGGCTATCACATTTCTCACATTTATACTACCATCATCAAGACTTAAATTCAGTCATCAGTATGTGTGCTGTCCTGCCTTCAGGTAAAACAGGAAGGCCTCTAATGACCCAAAGGCAAGCTCCCTGCATGGACAATATTTCAACATGCTTCTCTACTAAACAGACCAGGGGAAGCCCCTGCTTAACTGAGAAGAAGATTAAAGCCCTGCCACATCCTCTATCCCAGGAAAACTAATGAATGCTCATATTCATTCCTATCCCCCTCTGACCCTACCTTTCTCCACAGCCTGTGTTTGTTCATTCTGTTCCTATGCACAGCCTCTTATGACCTTGTTGGCCTGTAGAGCCCTCCTTCCACAGGCTGTGTAGTAATACATCTAAGACACTCATGAAAAACTCCCATATAGTATTGAAAGATACCTGGAGTCTTGAGAAATAAGGCTGATTTGCATATAATTTAGGAATCTTTTACAGGTGTTAGTACTGATAAGTGAGCCGGGTAATGGTGGTGCACGCCTTTAATCCCAGCACTCGGGAGGCAGGGCCAAGAGGATCTCTGTGAGTTCGAGGCCAGCCTGATCTACAGAGCAAGATCCAAGACAGGCACCAAAACTACACAGAGAAACCCTGTCTTGAAAAACTAAAAAATAAAATAAAAAAAGAACATCAAGTGAATACACGCACTAAAGAAGAAAAGAGCCCAGAAAATGACCTTAGGAAACAATGTCTTCTTTTCTTTGAAACAGTGTCCAGGTCTAGTCCAGGCTGGCCTCAACCTCACATCCTCCAGTTCCAGCCTGTGCCTGGATACCATGTGTACTCTACCACATCCTATTGGAAAACTCAAGAGTAGACAGAGCCAGGCCTGGTGGCCAACATCATCCGAGCAGGAGGATCTCTGAGTTGAGGACAGCCTGGTCCACAAATCAAGTTCCAGGACAGCAGGGCTGCACAAAGAAAGCCTGTCTTGAAAAATAAAACAAAACACAAACAAAGGAGTAGATGGCCTAGAGGCCAGAGGAACAGCCTGATGAGCAGGAGAAAACTGAAGAAGGAAATCAGGCTGAAGCATGAATAATCTCAAACACCATGAGGAAGAAAAGAGAGAAGCACTCAGAAATAAGCACTGGGTTTAAGAGTGCTCACTGGAACATGATGAGACAAAGGACAAGAGACTGTAGTGAGTGATCTGAGGTGCAGTGGGAAATGGAAAAGAGCCCCAGCAAGAAAACTATAAGCTAAACAACTAGGTCATTTAGTCTGTACTAAAATAGGTATTTTTCATTGTTTTATTTTCTTACTACTTGATTGTCTTTGGTATAGTCTTAAGTTCCTGAGGTCCTATGTAAAGATCTATCTTTTGTTTGTCTGTTTTGTACTGTGATACTATCTTTCCTTAGACCAAGGTCTTAACCAATCAATGGAAACACACATTTCATGCAGCCAACCTTGTCTACTGAACAAATATAAACACTACTGAGGTTTCCTAACCAAATCCTGAACCATTTCCAAAAGACGAAACTCACAGTACCTGCTCCATAACTTCGGGTGCCATCCAGCACGGGGTGCCGACGAACGTCTTCCGCACTTTGTTTCTGGTAATGTCACCACCAGTCGCTAAAAAAGCACTAACACCGAAGTCTGGAACAGAACAGACGGCATTTGTGATGGTTGGAAGAGGAAGGAGCTCCCACAGGCTCATGAATTCAGGCTCGTTGTCAACTGTTGGGCTTTGAGAAGTGATAGCTTCTGTTCCATATAATCAACGGACTGATCCCTGTAGTCAGAATATGATAACACTTGGGGAGATGGTGTAGAGGTTGAGCCCACTAAGAGGAAATGAGTCAATGTTCCACAAAGACTCCTTCTTACTTCAGCTTCCAGAGAGTCATGAACAGCTTCCTGCTCTGACATGCTCTTTCTCTGCCTCCCTCAGGGTAAGGTTAGGACCCAAATCAAAGGGTCTAATGAGCCCTAGATTGAAACCCATGAACCCACAGATTCAGAGAAAATACAATTGAAACCACAACTGTAAAAGCATTAACATCCAGAATATACAAAAACAAAATCTACATTCCAAGGCTAAAGAGTCAGAAGCCAATCAATACAGGCTACAAAGAGATTTTGTCTCTAATAATAATAATAACAACAACAACAACAATAATTCTACAATTCACCGGGTGGTGGTGGTGCATACCTTTAATCCCAGCACTCGGGAGGCAGAGCCAGGAGGATCTCTATGAGTTTGAGGCCAGCCTGGTCTACAGAGTGAGATCCAGGACAGACACCAAAACTACACAGAGAAACCCTGTCTTGGGGGGGGGGGGGGGGGGGATTCTATAATTCAGCAACAACAAAAATCGCATTAAAAAAAAAGGCACAGGACTTCACCTAAGAAAAGCAAATGGACAATATAAACATGAAAAGATGCTCAACATAGCTGACCACTAGGCAAGTATAATCAAAACCATGAGAGAGACATTAAACTAGCATGAGGACCTAAGTCTGGATCCCCAGCACCCATACAAATGCTAGACAGGCAGAGTAGCCGCTTCTATGAGTGCTCAGGATGCAGGGACAAAAGGTCTCAGAGGCAAAGTAGCAACAAATGTGAAACCACATACCTGCATGCATTCATGCATGACACACACACACTCCAACAAAAGGAAACTAAGTCATGGTAATCATTACCTGCGATCTGTACAGAGCCATCTTCTCCTAGGAGAATATTTCCAGCTTTGACATCTCTTCAAGGAAAAAAAAAATACCATCAACATTTGTTCTTTAAAATAGCACTATTTAAGAAGCATCTGTTTATTTACAAAATATTAGCACTATTTAAATATTTTGTTTTATATTAGAGTATTAAAGTCAATAGTAATTTTTAAAGTTTTAGCTATTTATATTATAATCCAAACATTAAAAAGAAAACTTTAATAGGGAACATAACTTTTTATACCACCTAGAAAACTTAAGCTCATTAAATATTCTTTTTTTTCTTTTTCTTTTCTTTTTCCTTTCCAAGGCAGGGTTTCTCTGTGTAGCTTTGGAGTCTATCCTGGAACTCACTCTGTAGACCAGGCTGGCCTCAAACTCACAGAGATCTGCCTGGCTCTGCATCCCAAGTGCTGGGATTAAAGGCATGTGCCACCAGTGCCCGGCTCATTAAATATTCTTGACTGGGATGATAATGGCCAAAGAAAGTGACTCTCATCTATCCTCACCTAATTCTTATTGCTGAAACATAAATTTTTTTCTATACAAACTACATGCTAAAAAACAATGGATCATTCTCTTCCAAGTTCCTCAACCCTCAGTTCTTACTTTCTAACTGATTAATGAGTACATATTTGAAAACAGATACTACTGTACACTTACAAAATAAAACAAAATTACTCAGAACTGGATATTTTTTCACTGTGAACCACATATAACAATTCTAGTAAAACAGGGATACATGCTTTTTATCTAAAAAAATAAACAATGCCAAGTATAGTGGGACACAGCTTGAATCCCAGCACTCTGGACCGTAGTAGACTGCACATAACCCTGTCTTTCATTTTCCAAATTCTATGACACTTTTTTGGTCATAGTTTGGGTAAAAACTAAGGGAATCTGAATAGGCTCTATGTATGTGAGAGGTGCAGTAAAGAAACCTTCCTGGCACTCTATGATTGGGGGCAGGTTATTGTTGGTAAGAGAGAGAACACCCAGAGGCATCTGGAAGAATCTGGAGCAGAGAGAAAAAGAAACAGACTGGACATGGCCAGTAAGTTTGAGACTATCCTGGTCTACATAGAGCACTGCAAGCCAGCCAGACTCTGTCTCAAAAACCACAAAACAAAATCTTGATCCTGCACAAAGGAACACACAAAGAAAGAGAAAGCAACTCAGCATGGCAATTCTTTTTGTAAAAACAGTGCACCAAAACCCAAACCAGGCTAGCAAGTACATTCAGCCAGACTGCTTCCATCTTTTATCCCTGACATTAGTGATGACTATGTCTCACTCCATTGGTGGGAGCTACACTTTACAATCTAACTTGACTGGCTAATTGATGCAAAAGGAAAGATGGTTCAGGAAATGTGAATTGTTTCAGGCTAAAAAGAACCTTAACTACCTTTGGTAAGAAAAAGAGTTTCTCACAAACCCAATGAAGAAGAGTACAATTTGACCACTACTTCCTCTACCCCCTTTCCTACCTGTCCTATAGTACTTGCAGAGTTTACTAGATGGCTGTACTTCTATGTCTCCCCATTTCACCATAAGCTATATTTGATCTGCATAATAATGCACTACCTCTTGCATCTGCAGTAATCAATCATCCAATCATCAAGTAGATTCAATAAACTACATAGAGGACTGCAGGAAGACAAGGCTCAAACCAGCTGTCAAGGCCTGCACATAACATACTTCCTTATGAGCCAACCTGGAGTCTGCCTGAGGCCCTAGCCACAGGCGCTGTCAGAGGTCCTGACTGTGCCTAGCCAACGAGGGGCAAGCATGCAATGTCACCAGATCTGGACGCAGCCTGGGTGCTGGGAGAGGGTATAAAAGGCTTTCCTCGTCACTGAATAAGTGAGTCTGCTGTTTGCCTTTCATATGACTCCCAGTGTCTGTATCGTTGATGCCACACCTTCTCACCCCCTCCCTCAAAAGAGCCATTAGGACCCAGCAACAGAGGACTACCTACCTGGTATTTTTTTTTCCTCACAAGTATGAGGAGGGGTATGGCAAGCAGGGTTGAAAATGAAATACTAACCAAATGTTGCCTCCAACCCCAGTTTCTACCACCTACATTCTGTTCCAGATGTTAGAGTTATAAACTAAATATACTGCAGTCAAAGAATAGGAATGACCTAATTATTCATCAGTAGGTTGTTATGGAATATTAGTTTAAGATGTGTTACATTTGTTTATGCTGTGGAATATGTGTTTAATGAAGCAAAGATGTGTTGCATTCTTTTATGTTGCAATTGTTAACTCTGTGAAGCTGTGTTACTTTGTCTAAAACACCTGATTAGTCTAATAAAGAGCTGACCAGCCAATGGCGAGCCAGGAGAAAAGGATAGGCAGGGCTTGTGGGCAGAAAGAATAAATAGGAGAAAAAAGGAAGAGAAGGAACATGAAAAAAGAGGAGAGGAGGACACCAGGGGCCAACTACACAGCCACACAGCCAGCCACAGAGTAAGAAGGAAAGAAAGACACATAGAATAGAGAAAGGTAAAAGCCCAGAGGCAGAAGGTAGACAGGATAATTTAAGAAAAGCTGGCTAGAAACAAGCCAAGCGAATGTCGGGCATTCATAAGTAAGAATAAGTCTCTGTGTATTTATTTGGGAGCTGGGTGGTGGGCCCCCAAAGAGTAAAGAGTAAAAAAAAAATAAAAAACTACAGTAGGTCACCAGTGAAGAATCTATTTGTATATGCCAGTGAATACACAAGCTTATAGAAAATAACCCAAATATAATCCTGTTTCTTCATTTATTTATAAAATGTATATGGGGGTTTTGTCTGAATGTATGCATGTGTACCATGTGTTTGCCTGGTACTCAAGAAGGTTGGAAGAGGGCACTGAAACCCATGGAACTGAAGTCAGAGATGGTTGTTAGCCTCCATGTAGGTGCTGGGAACTGAACCTATATCCTCTACAGGAATAGCCAGTGCTCTTGACCACTAAGCTGATTCTCCAGCCCTTGTTTAGTTTTGAAGAGCTTTACTGTGTAACCCAAGCTAGTCTTTATCTCAAGATCCTGTTGCCTCAGTAGCCCAAGTATGTGGAATTATAGGTGTGCTTTAAATATATTCTGAAGAGGGAAGAGAAAAGCTTCATATAATGTAACTTTTTTGCTTAAAAAACAGAATAGTGCTGGGCAGTGGTGGCACATGCCTTTAACCCCAGCACTCAGGAAGCAGAGGCAGGTTTTGAGTTTGTGGCCAGCCTGGTCTACAGAGTGAATGCCAGAACAGACCAGGGCTACACAGAGAAACTCTGTCTTAGAAAAACCAAGGGGAGAAGAAAACAGAATCAGAGATTTGTGTGTGTGTGTGTGTGTGTGTGTGTGTGTGTGTGTGTGTGTGTGTACACATACATATTCACATATGTGTATATTGGCATAAAATGCTTCTCAAAGGAGTCATAAGAAAATGGCAAGAAGTTGTATTCTTTGAACCAGAGCATTAGGATTTTTTTTGGGGGGGGGGTTCTAATGCTTTACATAAAAAATTGAAAAGAAAATACAAGTTCCCACACACTCATTATTAACACCTTACTTCAGTGTGGTACTTTTGTTAAAATTAATGAGCCCAGATTAAGACATCATTAGCTCAAGACTACAGTGCTAGGTCTCAGGCAGTGTGTATGTCCAGAAATGAGCCCAAGCTGGACTAAAGGATTTCTGGTGGCTAGATGAAAGCCAGCATTCCTCAGGAACTTGTGAGATGGGTCACTTGGTTTGCCTCTAGCAGAAGGGGTAGAAGGCTTTCCACTGACATACACCTGTGGTTGCATATCAAAGCCCATGCAGGCCTCCAGACTCCCTCAGAGCCTTTTCACACATACTTGTTGTATGTCTCAAAGCCCCACACTAGCTTCCTGGCCCTTCTCACCTCCCTGACTTCTGCACTAAGGCAAACCCCCCCACCCCAGGCTGCTCCAGATCCCTGCTACTCTCATGACTGTCACTCTTGCTATTGTCCCTTCTCTTGAAGATAGCCCTGGCCATGTCCAGTCTGTTTCTTTTTCTCTCTGCTCCAGATTCTTCCAGATGCCTCTGGCTGTTCTCTCTCTTACCAACAATAACCCGCCCCCAATCATAGAGTGCCAGGAAGGTTTCTTTACTGCACCCCTCACATACACAGGGCCTATTCAGATTCCCTTAGTTTTTACCAAATGTTCCTTTCTAGCCCAGGAGTCTACCCAGATAAGCAAATTACATTTAGCTGCCAGGTCTCCTTAGGCTCTCCACAGTGACAATTTCTGACTATCCTTGCTTTTGGTGACCTCGCCAGTTTTGAGGGATAATGGTCAAGTGTTCTCTATGATACCCTTCCAATGGAATGTATATGACATTTCTCATGTCATACAAAAGCCATTCTTATCATACCACACCAAAGGTAAATATACAGTGTTAACATAATTTAGTCTGATAGAATTGAGAAGATCAATTTTTTTCTATCCACCAATTTGAGCTGCTTGAAGGCAGAAGTCATATAGAGGTATCACCTATTTAGGTAAGGCTATTAAGCTTTTGTGTTTCATAAGGCACTAATCCATCTTCCAGCAGAGCCTTAGGTTAAGCAACTATTTCCCTTTCAAACTAAGAGTACAATCCATAGAACAAGTTTCAGGTTTAAAAGTAAACCAATGCCATGGCTCACTGAGCACTCAAAACACCAGGCTTCTCACATGGAACAAGACAAGGGACTTCTCAAGGAAGAGATCTGCAACCAGGTATCCGGATACCAATACAGTTCTCAGGGGGGGAAAAAACCTTGTTTGTTGTTGGTTTTCAAGACAGGGTTTCTCTGTGTAGCCCTGGCTGTCCTGGAACTCACTCTGTAGACTAAGCTGGCCTGGAACTCAGAGATCAGTTTGCCTCTGCCTCCTGAGTGCTGGCACTAAAGGTATGCGCCACCACTGAGCTAAAGAACTTGTCTTACTCTGTCTCAAACTATTCTAAGCAATCCTGCAGCCCCGGGGCTGACTCTCTTATTTACTTTTGCATAGCAGGAATACTGGATATGTTT